CCCCTCAATAAAATTCAAATGGTAGCTCCCTAAGATGGCGGAAGACACCCGATCTACCCTAAGGGCAATATATCTAATGAGGAAGAAATTTTCAATTTCGGTCACGTCGAGTTATAACTTGTAGATCTCCTTTTGTTGAAAAGGGTTTCTGTTTTCATTTATCTATCTATTATACTGTTCAGGGGGGTGGGGGGAGAATCGAAAAAAAAAAATACACAAATATGGATAAAAGAAGGCGAAAGATACAAAAGGGATAGTAAAACTCTTAACCAAACTGACAATGTCATAACAAAAACTCATCAGCCGAAATAAACAGAGAAAAAAGATCAAAAGCCAAACAACAGTATATTAAGCGCAACATATAGAAAACCAAAAACTGAGCAACACGAAACCCTCAAAAAAGGGGTGATCTCAGGTGCTCCAGAAGAATAAGCAGATCCTGCTTCATATGTGGCACCCGTCACTTGGCGATTTTGCAAATACAGAAGGAATGTGTTATAAATTTCGAGGAACTCCCAAAAAACATGAATTACAGGATGTCAAATCGATGAACGTGCTTAAAATAGGCTCCTTTTCATAAAAAAGAATTGATGAAAATGTATTTGTATTTAGTGTACAGGGGCAAATATTACATGCATATAAGGTCGAGAATATGTAAGTGTGATATGAATATGAATAAATCTTGGCTCTGAACAAGACATATTTTGCTTGCTTAGCCGAATTTTTAACAAACTAGTTGACAAACCGTCTCTGACAATCTATGGAAATCCAAATAGCATCGGTTTTGATTAAGTCCAGATTTTTTGGTTTTATTTCGGGGAAAAGGGGTGAGTTTTACGTACAGTGGCAAATATTACACGCATATCAGGACGAGAACATGTAAGTGTGATATGAATATGAATAAACCCTGCTTTGTTACAAGACCTACTTTACTTGCCTAGCCGAATTTTCAACGAACTAGTCGACAAACTGTCTCTGACGTTCTATACAGTCCGCATCGCTTTCGATTAAGTCGAGAAGAAAATTCAAATTTTCAGATACCTCTAACAAGACGGGGGGGGGGGGGGGGGGGGGGGGGGTCACATTCTGATATAGCTCTGACCCTCTCAATCCTACGCTAAGCGTATTATTTGTCATATCAGTTGCTCTTTGTTTTTTGAAGATTAAGACTCCAGATTCTTATGTTCTATTTCGTGGAAAACGGGAGTGGTAAATACAAATTCTCCGATAACTCTTACATAGATGTGATTTTATATGAGTAAAATTTGACCCTCACAGTCATAAGTCTTATAAGCACAATAGTATGTTGTATATATTAACACAAAACATAGATAAATATTTTCTTAAATATTGTTCATAAAAAAAGTTTGGTTTTTAATTATATAAAAAAATCAAAACAAAACATGTAAAATATACGGCAAAACTGTATTCAAGTGTAATATATAGCGATGGGTAATTCTTTTGCTTTATGAATTTATGGAAAACTTTCTTTGTATATAATTTTGCCTCCGGAGTTAAATTTTTAATTAATATTCATCAACTTGCAAATGAAGAAGAAAAAATCCTGGGGATTTGTCCCTCATTCTTTTCCATAGAATTGCAGTTTCTATTCACATAATTCTGTAATGTTTTACGCATCATTATTGTCTTTCAATTTAACATAAAACGATCTAATATTTGTACTATATTCGAAGTCAACACCAAAAATCTTCAATTCTGCACAAGTACATGTCATCCTATCATTGTTTTATTTTGACTTTACGTTCTGTTTTTATAACTTAACATTTTACTGTTTCAAGTCAAGACCAAACTACATCAAATTTACATCGTGTAGTTTCAAGTCAACACATTGTATGATAAGCCTCTCGTAACGTCATGATGATATAACATCGTGCTATCTTAGCTCAACAACACGTACTTTCAACTGTACGTCGTATAGTTTTGAATTAGCATATTGTATGGCAAGCCTATCGTGATATTATTATGATATAACGTCGTGCTATCATAGCTCAACATCACATACTTTCAACAGTACGTTGTGTAGTTTTAAATGAGCATATTGTATGGTACGCCTATCGTGACATTCTAATGATATAACAACGTGCTATCTTAGCTTAACATCACGTACTTTCAGCTGTACGTGGTGTAATTTTAGATGAGCAAATTGTATAACAAGCCTATCGTGACATTATAATGATATAACATCGTGCTGTCTTAGCTGAACAACACGTACTTTCAACTGTACGTCGTGTAGTTTTAAACGAGCATATCGTGTGGTAAGCCTATCGTGACATTCTAATGATTTTACAACGTGCCATCTTAGCTTAACATCACGTACTTTCAACTGTACGTTATGTAGTTTTAAATGAGCAAATTGTATAATAAGCCTATTGTGACATTATAATGATATAACATCGTGCTATCGTAGCTAAACATTACAAAATTTCAACTGTACGTCGTGTAGTTTCAAGGGAGCATCTTAGCTTAACACGTTGCATCGTGTTGTTTTAAGTCAACAAATTGTATGGTAAGCCTTTCGTTTCAATATAGTGGTGTAGCATCGTGTTATCTTAACTTAACATCATGTACTTTCAACTGTGCATCATGGTGTTTTAAATCAACAGATTGCATGATCGACCAATCGTAATATCACAATGATATAACATGGTACTATCTCAGCTCAACATTTATTAATAACAAGTCAGCACCATACATTTTAGCTATTCATTTTATTTGTTATCATAGCTGTCGATGTGGATGACTGAGCAGTATCCATCTACAAGCTAACATCATTCAACGTCAACTTCACATCATGTACTTTAAACCGAACGTTACTTGTGTTTGGCATATCATCACAACATCGTGACTTATCATTGTACTATCACGACTAAAGCACTTGTCATTGCAAGTCAACATTGCGCAAATTCAACTTAGCATATTGTAATTAAGAGTTTGCATTTTGATGACTCAATTCAACATCACGCTGTCTTAACTTTACATTTTAAGCTTCAGCATAACGTTTTGTAAATCTCTAATATATGACAGCTGAGGCTTTCCATAAAAATGACTGAGTGACGTTTCAAACGTACTGATCAACTCCACCGTAGCGAAACACATGACTGACATAATCAATAATATATTACAGTAAATACGAGCGAAAAATATCTTTATAAGTAAAGAATTGTCGCATAAAAATTAAATACACGACCGGGAAATGGCAAAGTTCACGAAGTCTAGTCTGATTCATCATTTTACAAAAAAAAAAAAAAAAAAAGTTCAAGCAAAGGGGGGGCGTACGCCCTCTACGCCCCCCTCTGGATCCGCCACTGTATATTCTCAATTTTCGTACCAATCGAATGGAATAAATACTATATTTTTTTAAACTTATTTGTACTATATTTTTAACTATGTATACAGACATACATTTTTTTGCATTTGTCACTTTCATATGTTCATAATACAAACTAATTGTGTTTTGAAAGTAGACCATATGTAGAAGGGCGTGTTATGACAATTTCCGTTTTGAAACAGCTACACTGGCTCTTTTTCAAATGATTTTATTTTGATTCTATTTTTCTTCTTAGACAATTAAAAATATATCAAAATTGAAATGTCATAATATGTCTAATTCTTTGTCGAGACCTTGTGGATCAAAACTATTTACGCATGCATATTTGTAATCAAGTACACACGCATATTGTATGGTACGTGAGGAAATCCGTTAACAACTAATCATCTTGTGCGACTTATATATACATATATATGTGGCCATGTGTTAAAAACGATTCATCAATGATGAACAGCCACCTTGTTGGTCTCATGATAACACTTAAATCTGCGGCTGCGTACCAATATTCTACATGTTCTACCAGGATATTTTTTTATCTTGAATATTAACTAAAGTTTCTTCGCTTGATGTTGATTTTAATTCATTGGCGGATCAAGATAGGGTCCAGGAGTAGAAACTCTAGCTTTTTTTTACTTAAAATCGATGGAAATTAGGTTGAAAACTACCTTCTTTTTGTAGGTGGAACCCAGTGAAACTCCTCCTCTAAAAATTACTTGACCCACGCCTGACGTTATACATCCACACACCAATGCACATCTTTGCTAACCATTAAATATGTTATGACTTAGCAGATTTCAAACCAAAAGAACTGATTTTGTCAGGTTGCTCACGTTAAGACCAGTGATACATATTCATTTTATCATCTTTAGCTGTTCCTAATCACACAACATAGATGTCTCATCACACTCCCATCATTTAATTGGCTGCTAAGAATCGCGTGGTGTTTAAAATTGACGTTTTTGTCCCAATGCAACGCAGCTGGCGCCCACATCGGCACGGGCTCTCTACGTTACAACAATGCGTTGGAATAATTAAAAAAGACAAACGAAAAGATTGATTGAACTCATAATTTCCTGTTTTTTGCATCAAAATGATATAATAAGAATCGAATTCCTTTTTTGTGCCGTTTTCTAGGGTTGTAAAGGCGCATTCGGCACACTTCGGTAGATTATACAATGTTAGATGTAGGGTACCGGAATATAGTGAGGTGTACTGATTGGTAAAGGCGCTGAACGCTTCCGAAGCAAATTTTGTTTGAAACGCTGAAGTTTGACGGTATCTTATATGACGAATATATATTACTATTAATCATGTCAATTAATTACAATTCTTTTGATTTAACTTTTGTATGTGATCATTGCCTGGTCACTGTTCATCTTAAGGGGGAGCCACTGTACAATAATGCACGTTTAGCAAGTAATATTCAACCAACCTACGAGTGATTTCATCGGAAATCCTACAAAAGCAACACAGAATGATCAATCTCTGGACTGGTAGTTTATTTTATTCCAATGGGTCCTTTATCAACTGATTTCAAGACGCTAGAAGTACATTTGTGCCCGATTTCTTATTTAAAAATCGCCAAAAGATTATTTTTAGAGACGTTTCATGAGGTCTCCAATCTTGACATTTTTTAGACTTGTATTTTTAGATGAAAAGTCGATCCTTGTACGTTCTGCATATAATAATTCAAGTAAGTTTTTATCAGTTTTGGACAGTGGTCTTAAAGTGGTCTAAACGGGATATATATGTCTATTTTTTGGAATCTACAGTTGTTTTTACACTATAGATGCAGAACATAATAAATGAATTTTCTTAAGCATGATGCTTAAGAAAGTTCATTTATTATGTTGTATGAATCAGAAAAGAGATAAAACTATGTCTCTGTCACAGATATTACACAAATGGGCTATATAAATGTATACATGTGCAAGTTCATGTATCATTTGAACCCATTTCATTTGTTTTTGTGACTAGTCAAAATTCTTGAAAATTGGTATTAAGTTTTTTTTTAAGTTTTACACGTATATACATGTATGTATGTATTAATAAGATCGTAACAGTTCATTTCACATAGAATTGGAAAATTATTACGGGCTGGGTGAAGGGGTGTCTTTCCGACTGGTACTATTTTGACTTTTAGAAAACCGTCGATATTCTGGAATCGCTTGTAAATTCAAATACCTGAATCTGTAAATCTTAATTTGGACGCCAAAGTATCTCGTTTTGACCATTTCCCTGGCTTGGTGGATGCGTTCAAATTACCTTTTTGTACAGCAGAAACTTTTAACCATTTGTCTTGCAAGTGGTAAATTGCTATTCATATTGGGAAAAAAAATGTACTTTGTGTAAATGTTAGCTATGGTTTAATGAAATAGCTTTATTAAGCGATTTTTCACAAGAAATTACATAAGATTCATTTTAAAAGCCTGCGTAGCAACCTTTATAGAATTGACTTCTTGCAAGTGAACGGAGAAGCACCGTCTGCTTTAAATGTCTGTGGATGTGATACTGCTGCTGCTTATGATCAAATATCTTTTCACTAAAAATTGAGCTTAATCTAACTTTCCGTAGAAAATGAAAATCAAACTTTCGGTAGAATATCAAGCTTAATCAAACTTTCCTTAGATAAATCTTAATTTGGACGCCAAAGTATCTCGTTTTGACCATTTCCCTGGCTTGGTGGATGCGTTCAAATTACCTTTTTGTACAGCAGAAACTTTTAACCATTTGTCTTGCAAGTGGTAAATTGCTATTCATATTGGGAAAAAAAATGTACTTTGTGTAAATGTTAGCTATGGTTTAATGAAATAGCTTTATTAAGCGATTTTTCACAAGAAATTACATAAGATTCATTTTAAAAGCCTGCGTAGCAACCTTTATAGAATTGACTTCTTGCAAGTGAACGGAGAAGCACCGTCTGCTTTAAATGTCTGTGGATGTGATACTGCTGCTGCTTATGATCAAATATCTTTTCACTAAAAATTGAGCTTAATCTAACTTTCCGTAGAAAATGAAAATCAAACTTTCGGTAGAATATCAAGCTTAATCAAACTTTCCTTAGAATATAAAGCTTGACAAATTCTTTGCAGAAATTAAAATTTTCTTCATAAGAATTTGGTTTCTATGCATAAAGATGTACTGATGTGCAATCTTCTCCCTCGGACAAGAAATGCATTATTTTTTTTTGTCATCTGCATAGATATGCTTGCAATTTACTTAACTGCATACTCAGCCGATTATATTTTTTGTTAACTCTAACTAGCACAGTTGGAATTTCTTCTGAAGCTCTATAAAATACTCTTTCTTCATCAAGACACATATGGTAAGGTCCATGCCTGATAAATGTGCTGAAATGGTGTTTAGGGCATATAATTTACTGCCAACTATAGGATCCATTTTATTCTTTTGTTTGACAGTTACCGTGAGCCAGGGTTATTTTATCTTCTGTCCAGAAACCAGGTTTTATTTAGGTCAAGATGTAAATTCTAAAACTTCAAGGTAAAACCGAGTAAATATATTTGGATATTTTTAATCGGCGTTAATTTTGAAATTGTTTTTTGTTCTTCAAACCTCCAAATTCAAATGCTGATGTTGATATACCAAATGATAAACAACAGACTTAAATGCCATTAAAAGTTAAAGGGAAAAAGAATCACTCCTATATGGAATTAAGCGTCGTTTTTCTCTCTTTACACAAATATTTTTTAACGCAATCTCCCACTCTTTCTAGTAATGTAATGGAAAATGGTATACACAAAATAAAAGGTTTTTCAGTGGTGTATTCAGGAATGACTGACATTCGCCCCCTTTTGGTCGACAACATATTTCATTTGTTAGGCATTACGCCACACACCCCAACCCTGATAATCGACGCAATATTAGAACAGCTTTTTTTAGCTCACCTGGCCCGAAGGGCCAAGTGAGCTTTTCTCATCACTTGGCGTCCGTCGTCCGTCGTCCGTCGTCCGTCGTCCGCTTTTTACATTTTGAACTTCTTCTGGAGAACCACTGAATGGAATGAAACCAAACATGGCATGAATGTTCCTTATGAGGTGCTGACCAAGTGTTGTTACTTTGTAGCGGATCCATCATCCAAGATGGCCGCCAGTGGGGGACTTAGTTTAACATAGGACCCTATGGGAAATACATACAAATGTCTTCTTTTAGAGAACCACTGAATGGAATGAAACCAAACATGGCATGAATGTTTCTTATGAGGTGCTGACCGAGTGTTGTTACTTTGAAGCCGATCCAAAATCCAAGATGGCCGCCAGCAGGGGACTTAGTTTAACATTGGACCCTATGGGAAATACATACAAATGTCTTCTTTTAGAGAACCACTGAATGAAATGGAACCAAACATGGCATGAATGTTTCTTATGAGGTGCTGACCGAGCGTTGTTACTTTGAAGCCGATCCATAATCCAAGATGGCCGCCTGCAGGGGACTTAGTTTAACATGGGACCCTATGAGAAATACATACAAATGTCTTCTTTTAGAGAACCACTGAATGGAATGAAACCAAACATGGCATGAATGTTCCTTATGAGGTGCTGACCGAGTGTTGTTACTTTGAAGCTGATTCATAATCCAAGATGGCCGCCAGCGGGGGACTTAGTTTAACATGGCACCCTGTGGGAAATACATACAAACGTCTTCTTTTAGAGAACCACTGAATGGAATAAAACCAAACATGGCAAGAATGTTTCTTATGAGGTGCTGACCAGGTGTTGTTACTTTGAAGCTGATCCATCATCCAAGATGGCAGCCAGCGGGGGACTTAGTTTAACATAGGACCCTATGGGAAATACATACAAATGTCTTCTTTTAGAGAACCACTGAATGCAATGATACCAAACATTTTATGAATGTTCTTTATGAGGTGCTGACCAAGTGTTGTTACTATAAAGCCGATCCATAATCTAAGATGGCCGCCAGCGGAGGACTTAGTTTAACATAGGACCCTATGAGAAATACGTACAAATGTTTTCTTTTAGAGAACCATTGTATGGAATGAAACCAAACATGGCATGCATGTTCCTTTTGAGGTGCTGACCAAGTGTTGTTACTTTGAAGCTGATCCTTCATCCATGATGGCTGCCAGATGGGGACAATGTTTAACAAAGGACCCTATGGACAATACATACAAATGTCTTCTTTTAGAGAACCACATACTGAATGGATTGAAAGCAAACATGGCATGAATGTTCCTTATGAGGTGCTGACTAAGTTTTGTTACTTTGAAGCTGATCCTTCATCCATGATGGCCGCCAATGGGGGGACTTCCTTTAACATACGACCCTATGGGAAATACATACAAATGCTTCTTCTAGAGGTGCACTGAATGGAATGAAACCAAAACATGGCATAAATGTTTCTTATGAGGTGCTGATTAAGTGTTGCTACTTTGTTGCCGATTTACTGTTCAAGATGGCCACCAGGATTTTTTATTAAATTACAGGACCAATATTAAACCAAATTTGGCCTCACTCATTATTAGGGTATCTGTTATGATTTTAATCTATTTGTACATGATTTCCAAAATCAAAGTAGAATCAGGTGAGCGACACAGGCTCTTGAGAGCCTCTAGTTTTGTATCTTACACGTCTAAATATAAACATGCTTTACCATATTTACGGAAACGTGTAATTTATCTATTTCTATAATGATGAAGCTTAATTATTTGTCATAGCATTCTGTGATTTCTATAATGCTTTTATAAATTCTTGCCTCTATTACTTTAAAATCTGAACAAAATGTCTATTCCATTCATTATAGTGATGAAAACTTACTGCATACCCAATAACTTGATTGTAGGTTACCAGAATGATGGGAAACACATATTTATATCCAATCCTTCACTGGCGGTAGTAATATATGTTGTGATTTGTAAATATAACTGGTTCACATACCGCATTTCTATTGGGGAGCTAAAAAACTTAATTTTCAAACATGCAGTTTCAGACTTTGCATAGAGATTTTTTGAACCCGAATTAAGTTAACAGATGTATTGATATTCATTTGCATAAGGTCGATTTCTATCGTACTCAGCTCAAATGTGTGGTGGAAAGAATTGGAGAACCAAGTTACAAATACATACGATTCGATTCAAGATCATTCAATATTATTATTTTTTATCAACAAATATATTCCACGCAATTGTTAGGAAATGATCTTTTATAAGCGTGCCACATGCCCCTTCATACTGACTTGCAGGAAAAAAATGTACATTTGAAGTTTTCATTCCAGTATAGGATTTTTCATTAAAAATCAAAATAAAAGTGATCCAGTTTCGTGCACAGGCGGATTTAGGGGGCATCGGACCGTCTCCCTTATGGAGCTAAATTTTATGGTTAATGCGTAAATCTTTTACATGTCCAACCACAGGCACTTGTCTCTCAAAAAAAAAATTACTTATATATATATATATAGGTAATTTTTTTTTCAGAGACAAATTAAAGAATATAGGTAATTTTTTTTTCAAAGACAAGTGCCTGTGTGTCCAACTCCTAACGTTGCCTTGTCCCCCTTTTTTTAATCCTGGACCCGCATCTGTCATGCGTAAAAGAAGTTCCTTTGGGATATTAAATTGTTTACTTTACAGAAATGAAACCCACATCTTATTTAATTCGTCAGTTGAATGTGCGTGTACATGAATAGATGAAATAAACAAAATGTCAAATTTAACCTTGACATTGCAAAAATGTCGATACTAATTATAACTGATATTGACACAAAATATAAATGGCTGAATATTAATAACTAAATAAATAAGTTAAATATTTGTTATATTGATTGCATTTAAACAAATGACAACCATATTGATTTCGTGAAAGTTTTTTGTCCCTTTTATATAACTCCTTACGCCTCAGTTGAGAGTGTTAATCATGTTTATATATTAAACGTAAAAAAGAAATGCGTTTTAAAATTAATTTCTATTATATATAACAGATATCGTGTTTTTATACCAAGCGTGAAAAGATGTTCGTAATTTGTTTTTGAATATAATTGTTAATGTTGTTGTTTACAGTTATTTGTAAAATCCCGTGAAGTGAAAAAAATTTTTTTTTTTTTGTTTTATCTCAGAAGAACCAAAAATTTGTAATTCAAATATTTTCCCCCGTCAGGTTTTAAACTAAGACCAAGAAATACTATTTTATGTCAGTTATAAGTGTTGCATTATTTTGAGAGAGAGAAAAAAGGAAAAGTATAATGATGGTAATATTTTATTTTTCAAAAATATTTTGAATAAACTTTAATTGGATCAACCTTGACCTGAACTTAAAATCCCCACATTATGGGTCAGGGTAAACATACAACAATAATCAGGAATATTCCTCCTTGCATTTATCAGCTCTTGTGCTTACGATATCAAACAAATGTTTTATACATGCATATTTAAGTAAGACTCGTATTTTAATAAATTAATTATGCATCACATAATTTTTTGTATAAAAAAAACTCATCGATTTGGTACTGGCACGATTTAAATGTTATAATTTGTTTGCAAATTTCCAGTTCATAAAATTAACATCGCCTTTTTTCTGGTCTCTGCGTCCGTTAGTCCGTCCGTCCGTCCGTATCAGGTAGAACTTTTTGGTTAAGATGGTTTACTATCACATCAACTTTAGACTTAGTACGCATGTTCATTATGATGTGAGAATATTAATTGCTCATGCCAAGTTGCGGATTTTGACCCTGATTTTTCAGTTCACTGAGTATATATGGAAATGAGATCACCACGAAAGGGCATCGTGTCCTATGGACACGTATTCTTGTTATAATATGTAAACCCTTTCTTACAAAAGGTGACCTTAAAAGTAAGTTATACATTTTGTTACTGTTCTGCTTAGACAATTTTTTTACTGTTCTGCTTATTCCCTTTTGTTTTGTTTTGTATTTTTCTTAAAATATGTTTGATATTTTTGGCTTCTGTCAAGTTTTTAGCGGCTCGAACGAACAAGGATCGTTATAAGGATGTTTATAGTCTTTAGAATAAAACATCACACACTTATACCTTTCCATCATGCAAGCCATACCCAGTCAGGTAAATTATATTGAGTAATAAAAAGTATCATTATATATATTTTGTAGGTTACCAGATGGGTGACCAGAGAAATATGCAGGATTCGTCCGATGACGGGATTGGATGCTGCGGATGTATACTGATGGGATTATCTTACCTTCTTGTTGCCTTATTTTTCCCCTTTTCTCTATGTATGACAATAAAGGTAAGACAAAAATGTCAGATATCCATAATTCCAAAGGGCATGTTTTTTCTAGTCCAAATATTTATGAGGTCTTGAAAGGCTTTTTTATTTTTTATGCTGTGACGTCTTAGGAAGGCGTCATAACAAAAAAAATAAAACAGCCTTTCAAGACGTCATAATTATTTGGACTTATGTTTTTCCTATTTAAGGAACAATTTTTTCGGGTTTGTCTAAATTGTGTCAGTATAGATCCAGAACAGGCACACGACTAAGCTTCTCATAAAAGTTTGGAACCGACAACTGTAGGGTTCACTACACAAACCTACATTGTGTTGGAACTGTAGTGTACCTTGAATTGTTTGGAATTCAAACATTTCTGTGCACATTAATTTAAAAGGACCGATGTAACACAGAAATCAGAAGATCTCAAATTGACAATATGCCAGTTCATGATGATAATCCTTCCAGAGGTCTTTAAATTGTATACTGTTTGTAACACAAAGCAAAATAAAACTTAAAACTAAAGCTTAACTGAAAAACCTACAGACAGGAAAGATAATTTAAAGGGTAATATGTAAACGGCATACCTAATATCAATGAATACCATCTTTGGCTAATTTGGGTAGTTTGACATATTAACATAAACACAATTTTCCCCGTGATAATCGTATAATCAGTCTAAGATAGTGATATAACAATGATGTTATTAAATAAACTAATATATTTTAATTTAAATACTCCTTAAATATGTATGGTTGTAAACCAGATATGCTTGGACATCAAAGGATTGACAACATTTCTACCTCTAACAAGCCCAAGCAGTGGCAGTCCAAATTCCTCGCCCTGCATCCCTGTCGACCCACTTTGCTGAATATACCAATTGGACTTCTTGTTATTTTTTAAGTTCTGAATATGATGATGATGATAATGATGAATGGCTGCTTAACGTCCAGCGGCAAATTAATATGCATATTCAGGACGAGAACATGTCAATGTAATATGAATATTAACCCTGCTTTGTACTAGACCGACACGCTGAACCGGATGTTTAACGTGCTAGTTCACAAGGTAACAGTTCGCAGGAAGACATGTCACATTAACCGGACACATTATTCTGACTCCGAGCCGACCAGTCTTTGCTCTTACTCCTGAATGCCGCGTGCTAAGCGGAGAAGCAGCACATACCAATTTTAAAGTCTTTGGTTTGACCCGGCGGAGGTTCGAACCAACGACCTCCCGCACTCGAGGCGAACACGCTACCAAGAAGTCCTGAATATGCATGAAGTATTAAAATGTTTGCTACTTTACGTTACTGAAACAACTAAATAATTCTGTTGAAAAATGTAATCGAAAAACCTCATCGTGACCCTCTCTTTAAATGTTTATCTAATTATCCTATAATCCGGTTAATTATCATGATTTCTATAAATAGGTGATTTAAGGTCCTTTAAAAATCATTCTTCCATACATGGCATACATTTACGGTTGTTTACTAAATCGAAATATTCGGATGCAATTACACATTCCATTCATATACATAATTTGTCATTTTGAAGGGTTAATATCGATTGAGTACAGGTTTTACTTAATAAGCTGTGATACACGTCTCCTTGGCAATCATACTACATCTTCTTATATTTTATATTAATTGCAGTTTGTTGTTAGTGCTGCGTGGATGCCACAGGCACTTGTCTCAGAAAAAAAATTCCTTAAGGTATATAGGATTTTTTTTCTGAGATAAGCGCCTGTGGTGGATGCAGTTAAATGTGTCTGAATGTCATTATACTTTAAACCGCCTCGGTGGTCTCGTGGTAGCGTGTTCGTGGGTTCGAACCCCGGCCGGGTCAAACCAAAGACTTTAAAATTGGAATTTGCTGCTTCTCCGCTAAGCACGCGGCATTAAGGAGTAAGAGCAAAGACTGCGGACTTACCTTGTGAACTAGCACGTTAAAAATCCGGCTCAGCATGTCGGTCCAGTACAAAGCAGGGTAAATATTCATATTAGTTTGCCGCTGGTCGTTTAGCAGTCATCCATCATCATCATTTTTATACTTTACTATTTTCAATTTAAGTTGTTTGCTTGTGATAGAACTGTACACCTTTAATCTCTAGTTTTTAGTTGTCTCATTGGCATTCATATTAAATCTCCTTATTTTTATAGTGTTTTTGGATATAATTGTTGTATAACTCTCAGTAAACTTTGTGTTGTCTCATAGGAAATCACCGCGATCTAGGTGGTTCATCTATTGTTTCATTAGTCTGTCAGATTGAGGTTGTGAGTTCCAATCCCGGACGTGGAAGGTGCAGTCGACTCAAATCTTAATTGACAAGGATTGTCAGTTTCCTGCCCAAGTTCGATGGTTGCATCCGGACACTCCGGCTTCCTCCACCAATAAAACTGACCGCCACGATATACCCAATAGTGCCAAAAGTGGCATTAATTACCAACAATCAACAATCATACCACATTTCCTTATTTTTTCATCGACTGCAGGGATTGTTGTTTGTGCTATGTGCAAGCAGGTTTGTTGGGATTGCTGCCTCCCTTTAATTTGTCTGTATAGTGGATAGAAGTCTCATTTTCAACCATACGACATCTCCTTGTTTTTATATTAATAGAGTGCTGACGTCTGATTTTAGGAACATTGAGCAGTTATGCTAGTAATATCGTTTAAGGTGGCTCACCCAAATAATCACCTCCGGTGTTTTTTTTTTTTTTTTATTTTTTAGATTTGTACATAATTATACATCTGTTTTAACTGTTAATACTGAATCAAAAAAAAAAGTCAAAAAAAGAGGGATCACTGGGTTCGTTTTATCAGTTTTTCATAATCTTGGTTTGCTTTCATATATCATTGGTTGTTTTCATATGACATGGGTTGCTTTCATACGAAATGATAGCATTCTAAGAAATCAAATGATTCGTCTTTCTGCCAATAAAAGATGAGCATGTATATGAATTGAACACGTAATGAAAATAGTTTTCATTAATAAAGAGTAAAAAAATAACTTAAAAGACATTTATATAAATGTAACTACTCATTAGCAAAAATACTATAAAACAGAAATACCATTCATAAAAAAAATCACGTTTCTTTTCGTTCTTTTATTACTTTTATTGATTTATTATACATTTTATTTTTATCTTCTCTAATACTATATAATTTCATTACACGATTGTTTCATTAGAATCTAATTTTAATTGGCTGACAACAATCGTGAGGCACTCTAATATCATATTTTATTTCCAAATAAAATACAACAGCCTATCCGTGACAATTTTAAAATAATGCATATTTTTAGATTTCAAAATAGTAACACTGTGAACTATTATACATTACTTTTAAAGTCCCTATATTGATGCTATAATGTAAACTCACGACTTGTTGTATATACACTGGATATTATGGTGGAGGATACTGTTAATTCATATTTTACAAAGGATTTAAATGTGTTTTAATATGTACAGATACTTTTAATATAATTTATCGGTCTCATCCGAGTGCTCCTAAACAGGTAGGGAACTACGAAAGAAGAAGAAGCATAGAAAATAAACGAAATGATTGATATTACTCTTGATGTCATGGTTGTAGCATACAAATGTTACAAAAATTGAATGCTTCTTTTTATTATTTTATAGGGTTGTATAAAAAGCGTTGTTCGTTTTTAAATCTTATACAAAATGTGCTTCGTTCAACGCTTTTACACCCTAATAAAATTGTAAAAGGAAGCATTCAATTCTTAGATAAATTAAATTTCGTGAAATTCCAATTCAGGAATAACTAAACCTCAAATGATCTCCCTTTTCAGATTGTTACTGAGTATGAACGAGCGGTCATCTTTCGGTTGGGTCGAGTACTGCCAGGAGGGGCGAAAGGACCTGGTAAGTTCATTAGATATTCAAACAGTTGATTTGCTAATACAATAGCTAAATATTCTTGATTCTGCAACGGGAATGTCGATACTCTCTTCCTTCTGTCTTTATTTCAGCATCCCATAGAAGTATATAATTTATGTATAAGTATAACTAAGCATGTTAAATTGAACAATACAATTCATACACTCAGTTCTAGTTCATGTTTTAATAAATAATGCTAAAATGTTTATTTTATATATTAACCATACACTTAATGATTTAAAACTACATACCGTACAGTAATTCTTTTATAAAACTTTATAACGAGATAAAATAGCCCTTAACTATTTAGTCCGTATGGATTTTTATGGACTGACAGGCTATATTCATAAAAGAATTAAAATTTGAATTAAAATAGAAAAAAATAACACTTCAAGTTTATTTAAACCAATTTGTTATTACCAAACATGTTGCTCTCATTAACGACAAAACAGAGTTCTAAATGGCTTCCTATTTTTAACGTTTAAAAAAGAAAATTTACAGTTATACGCAATGTATATGCGTTTCAGGTTTTGTATATAATTACTCTAAATATCAGCACAACAATGTTAAATCTGCATATTTGCGGAAGCAAATTTTTGCTCTTCCCTTTCCGGGATTCGAACTCATGGTATTGGGATATCGTGACAACACCGCATGCACTGTGTCCAGCGCTCTAGACCACTCGGCCACCTAGACTGAACTAAAAATTCAACTTTCGGTGGCCTAGTGTTACCTTTCCTCGTCAGTAGAATCTAGAGTTGTAACACAGTAGAATCTAGAGTTGTAACACAGTAGAATCTAGAGTTGTAACACAGTAGAATCTAGAGTTGTAACACAGTAAAATCTAGAGTTGTAACACAGTAGAATCTAGAGTTGTAACACAATAAAATCTAGAGTTGTAACACAGTAAAATCTAGAGTTGTAACACAGTAAAATCTAGAGTTGTAACACAGTAGAATCTAGAGTTGTAACACAATAAAATCTAGAGTTGTAACACAGTAAAATCTAGAGTTGTAACACAGTAAAATCTAGAGTTGTAACACAGTAGAATCTAGAGTTGTAACACAGTACTTTATATATATATATCTTTATTCTCATAATACCACTGCATAACATCAGTGCAGAGATAACAACAACAATAACTATTTACAATATACACAAAACAAGGGAGAGACTAATTACTAATTTACTAACCCGATCGAACAACGTCAGAGGACCTTTTGATCAACAAATGCATTCTTTCAATCGATAATACGCTTGTATACATGTAGTGATACAAATTATTTTAACCCCAACGACTTGGGTATATAGAAATATTCTCATTGCTGAACTTTCCCATTCCGGCTTTACGCGTGTTTACATGTTCTGATACCAAATCATTTATTTATTTCCATGCATATATAAATTTGATAATTTCTGGACTTTTCCCATTCGGCAGTAAAAACCATGCTTAAAGAAGGGCGACAGTGTGGCCGTGTGGAATGTATAAATACGTAGCGACGTCCAGAATGGGGAAGTTGAATACAATGCCTAGTGTAACGAAAGTGATACGCTCTCTGCGCGTTAAAGAATCTAGAAAAAAACTATGAGCTAGGGGTTCGTAGGCGATCTGTTGCAAGGAAAATTCCTATCTTACATACCCTCATTTTCATTTAATGTTAAAAAATTCCCCAGTCTGGCCTTATCTCGGTCCGCCGACTTTACAGATCATATTGATCTACTATACACAAACACAACCTCGGATCAAAAGATTAATGTTACATACAACTTCATGCATGCTTTGTATCTTTTTCTGACCTTTCCATTTTTGTTTACCAGGAATGTTCTTCATATTACCATGTCTTGACGAGTTCAAAAAGGTCGACCTCCGTACAGTGTCCTATGATGTCCCACCTCAAGAGGTAAGAACACGTTTTAATATAAAAAAAAGGTAGAAATTTTACAAGTCCAGCACATTTACTTACCTAATGTAAGCAATAGAACATTAATAACAAATAAAATATTAATTTTTCATCTTATTTTTTGCCATCGTTTTTTGTTATTATAATTTAAAACAAATTAACAAATAAAAACACGTTTTAACACTTGGAGGAGCAAATCTCAAAACGAAAAACAGCAATAAACGTTTATAATTTCTGTGATGATTATATTACAAATAAGTAAACTAAAAAGTATAACATTACACCTTTCTTAAAGATATTTGTCCCCAGGTTAAAAATCGCCGACTGTATCCGTAAAAGTGTAAATGATTTTATGCATCAATCAACATTGCATTGGCCGATCCAAAAGGGGGTGGGGTGTCTGGGCGATTGGAACCCCCATGTATTCCCTCGATTTTCTTGGTGACATTTTTTTATTTCAATTATGTGAATTATGTGAATTTTAATTCATGATGTTCCGGGGCTTGGAACCACCCTTTTCAAAATGGCTGGATCCGTGCCTGCATTGTGTTAACTGCTGTAACCATTTAGGTAGTCTAGTTCTAAATTGATTCCGAATGTACTTCTTAAAGTTTATCATACAAGTTATAAATGTTCTTGTACTGGTATTAAGACATGCATGTACTCCTTTCAGATTTTGACAAAGGATTCTGTGACAGTTGCTGTAGATGCTGTTATCTACAGCCGTATTTTTGACCCAACGATGTCCGTGTGTAACGTAGAAAATGCAGATTCATCTACTCGATTATTGGCAGCTACAACCTTGAGAAATGTCCTTGGAACTAAAAACATGTCTGAACTCCTGACTGAACGAGATTCTATTGCTCATCAAATGCAGGTTGGTATCTATTTATATATCTAGTATGTCAGTGTAACTGTTTTCTGTTTCCATTTAATATATGACTTATGATTCCAAAAATACTTTTTAACTGTTTTTGTCTCGTCTGTGGGAAATGTTGATAGTGGTTGCGGCATCATCAATTTGTTAAATTTTGTGATTGCCATTTTAAGGGGGACCGCTAATGGTTAGTTGTGATATTTGGTATGCAGTTTGGGTAGTATTGGCACATCTCTTATCCATGTAGATTATATGAGCCCACCCCTCAGTCATTGTTCATCGATTGTGGAACTTTTGCATACTTTACATGTTAAAGTTTGTGTATTAAAAGACTTAATATTGACACAAGAAGGGAAAGACTGAGGGAGATAACAATAACAATATCATTGTCTCAAGTTTTCTGTTCTATTTTTCAGTCTATCTTAGATGAATCAACAGATCCATGGGGAATCAAGGTAGAGAGAGTTGAAATGTAAGTATCAGTTATGTCTCTTATAAATCAAAATTATTTTTTATTTATAACCCTGCTTCCCACATCCCTAACAAGTTCAAAGACCTTCGGACGTCAGAGCAATTTGGTACTAGGAGGGGTATACAGTTTCATCCCTATTTTTCCGTCCATCTGTCTGTCCCCAGGGAATTGTTGTCGCATTTTTCTCAGCAACTACAAGACCAGAGCTGCCTGAAATTTGGCATCAGTCTTCATTTTAGCATGATGTAACGTGTGATGCTTTTTCACATTCATTGAATTCTAACTTCCTGTTTACAGATTACTTCTAGCTTTGGTATCATATGTGAGCAATAGCTCACAGTTGAGCATGTTTTATTCTCTCTGAATTATATGAGGGCCCAGATGGGGTATACAGAATAGAGATTAATGGGCAAAACGTGCAGAACAAAAGGCAAAAAATAGAGAAAATCGGCCAAAGACATAAAGAAAAGAGAATAATGGGTTGTTAAAATATAAAGAATAGAGAATAATGGACAAAATCAATAAAGACTTAAGTATACATGAAATGGTATAAAAACAAAATTTAGAAATGAAGAACCCCAATCCATACTCTCCTATATTCTTTGTCAAAGAATAAACAGCATATCATAAGGGAGCAATGGCTGCCGAAGCAGAACCTCAAGGTTTATGTGTTTTTTCCTTTCCATGTGGCTCCGGATCAAAATAATCTGTCAATCAATCACAAAGAACAGAAAAACTCCCTCAACCTTTAGATGTGAACAATAGAACTTTTAGAACTTTTTAGCTTTGTTGATATTTTTACACATAGTGAATTGCCAAATGAATGTTTGTGACGATAGAATGTTCTTAAATTACCCTTCCAATGCTCCATATCAGTAGTTAATATTACATTTCTTTTGTTACAGTAAGGATGTCAGACTTCCAGTACAACTCCAGAGAGCAATGGCTGCCGAAGCAGAAGCTTCAAGAGAAGCTCGTGCTAAGGTATGTTCACAAAACAGTTTTTCTTGGTTTTTTTGTTTTTGTTTTTGTTTTTTTTGTATTTTGAAGCTTGTTCTTTAAAAAGCAAAGAATTTATCTATTTATCATTTGTGAGGAATTTATTACGTTGTTCTTTAATTAATTTGTTATGAGTTCATGGTTTCCCAATTTATTATGAGTTCATGACTATGTTCTTTTGTCAATTTGTTACCTGTTCACGACGTTGTAATTAAGTTAGCCTGATGTTTGGGCTTTAATTCAATAAAATTTTTACTTGGGAACACTTCTATTTTTATGTGTTGAAAGGGATATTTATATTTTATTAATTTTCACTAGGTTCTAGCAGCTGAAGGAGAACAGCGTGCCTCACGTGCTCTGAAGGAAGCAGCCGACATTATGGCCCAATCACCAGCAGCCATTCAGCTCCGTTATTTGCAAACCCTGAACAGCATCGCAGCAGAAAGAAATTCCACCATTATTTTCCCATTACCAATGGATTTGTTGAGTGGATTTGGCAAAAAATAGAACTGATGTTTTTATGTTGTTTAAATCAATTGTTGTTTGTACAATATAAAAGACGGATTATGTTTGAAAATGGCAAAAATCAAACAATATTACTTTATATATATATAACAAAATATGCATTGTCATGTGATATCCTGAATATGCCTTAATTACAATAATAAGAACAAAAAACGAGAATTTTAGTCGTTTAAGAAGTGAAAAGTGACCTAAAGTTGCACGCATCCACATCCTTTGGTCTCAGGTGGATAGTTGTATCATTGGCAATCATACCGTACCACATTATTTCTATTGATTATAACGAAAGCAGGAATGTTTGTATTATCAATTCCAATTTTTATCTTCTTGTTATCAAGAAAATGGCCAGGCATTCTCGACCCTCGTGGAGATGTAACTCTTGAAGCGCTTTTCGCCGTTTTTTTTATGATATTGCTCAATGTTTGAAATGTTCTGCGGTTTATGTTTGATTGGAAAGACAGCAAACCTCTTCATGAACATCTCAAACGATTCAAGTTCTTGTGTATGTTGTTTTAAAGACAAGACTGCGTATGTTTTAATACTCAATGCTGGTGTCTTTCCTTCATTTCAGGGTGAAACATTTGCAATTAATGTTCCCATGTTTAGTGATATCATTACATGTTCTAGTTTCAATGCAGGCGGTATTTAAATAACAGCAAGGCTAGATGATATAGAGGCAATCAGGAAAAGTCCCCATTTCTCATTCAGAGGGGGAAATAAGTACAAGACTACAAAAAGGTTATTTTTCGTTTTTGCTATGAAATGTCATTCAGTGCTGAATAAAAGAAAAAGAAATATCTTATTTAATTTGTCCAAAAAAAGAATGAAGGGGTTGGTAAATTAATAATGTATATTTTTGACAAATGTCAATTAAATTTAAATTTATTAGAAATATAATTTTTTTATTTTTTTTAATTGTGAAATCAATAACAGATATTTTACAAAAAGTTGTACCAATTTACTGGAACTTCAATGATATTTCAAAGTAAAATATGGTGATTTACATTTTTATATTTATCTATACTTATTTTATGAAAAAATACCACTTTGAGCACGTGAAATGATAGCTACCATATAAGCAAATAGACTCTGACGTAATGCAGTCAGATTACAATAAGATGTTTATCAGTCTTTAAATTGCTGTGTTTTATTTTGTATCTGTAACACATTTATGTTGCCGGGTTTTATCAGTATTGCATAATTTAGTTGTTACGATTACATTAAATTTCCTCTGTTCAATGACAAACCGGCTGTACATAAAGGGTTTATGCGTATTTAAAAGCTTGTCTATTTTTAAAGTTACATGTTAAGCATGTTGATTAATTAAGACATGCAATTACATATTCCATGTTTATTTTTACTTGTTGTTTGTATACTATATATTTCTTAATTACATAATAAATTTAAATAATGAAGTTCCTGTTCCAAATATTAAAACTTATATTCTATTTTTTCTATATTGTTATTTGTATTATATAATATCGTAAGGAAAAAAAATAAATTCAATAAAAAAATATCTATGGTTTTGTTTTTATTATGGAAAAAAATGGGTCATGTGGAAGACGCTGAATGCAAACACTCAATTTGATTCTTGAATCGATGTAACACTTTACATGGCACGCCTCATGGTAGCATGTTAAGTTCCGAATGCAGAGGTCGAGGGTTCTAACACCAGGCCACGTCAATCAAAACACTTTAAAATCGGTATTTGCAGCTTGATCATTAAAAGCATCACCATTCGAGAAAGGGGTTTACTTGTCGGCTCGAGATCAGAATAGTACGAGTCTTGATATAGGGCGACATGCTTTCCTTGCCTTGACTGTTACCTTGTAAACTAGCAGGTAAAAATCGTCGGCCTAGAAAAAAAACAGTGTCCATGATCATGTTCCTTGTTTTAGTCATTGATTATGATATTTGCAGCTAGACGTTGAGCAGATATTCATTCTTAGGGTCAGCCTAATTATGCATGCAAGTCTAGGTAAAACTTTAAAAAAAAATTGCGTCGTTCTATTTAAAATCGTACATACAAAATAACCTGAAAATTTGGTGAGACAAAAAACAAAAAAACACAACACATCATGTGACATGTGAAGATTTATTCTTGTGTGATAGAGTTTAAATGACCTGTCGTCATTCAAACATGTAATAACTTGTTTTAATCTATTTAAATTCAGAAATTATGATATAAATTTAGAACAATTGTGTCTTGCGAAATGTTAGCGTAAATAATAAATGACCTGAAAATTAGACAAAAAAGACCAAGCATTTGTGTGAATACTAAGCGCATTAGTCTCGTCGTGATTTATGAAGGTCTGGATGTGGCTCTTCGTATTTGTATCTAAATTTTTCGATCATTTTTCTCTATTTAGACTATTATTTTAATTTGTTTTGTGATGGTGGAGGATGAAATTGTTTTATTTTTTTTATTTAAGTACCATTTTATTCTCTATTCTTTATGTCTTTATTCTGCATTATTTTTTCTTGTGCTCTATTCTGTAAACGCGATCCAGACCCTCGTTGACTTTATCTTGGCCTCAGTGTCTCATAGACGGATACCCTCTTTTTATTTATATTTATCATATTAATAATTGTTATAACTAAACACAGTACACAAAGGACATATAATTAGTAGTAGAAAAGTGTATGTAGAGTATAATATATGTGTGGTGTGGACGCTTGTACAAAATTAAAAAAAAAAAGTGCATTATGAAAATCAATTCAGAATTAATGCATTGTTGAAAACTGTGGAAATGAAAAAAAACATAACCTAAATATAGTGCATTTGTCACGTACTCGACGTAGTGACTATTGGGTAAATCGTACTAGATCAGGGAGGAATCCAGGATTTTAGGTTAGGGGGGCGCAAACCTAAATTGAGCGAGGCGAAAAAAATTTTGAGGTAAAATTATCGTAATATTCTTCTATTAAGCTGAGGACAACCCATGCTTTGCAAATTTAAGGTGGGGCCCACCCGCCACGCCCCCGCCTGAATCCGCCCCTGTACTAGATTATACCCCTTTATATTGCCAGATGCACTGTTAGTTGAATTTCTATTATATACTTGTAGATTAAGCCTATGACACCTGCTACCAATGTGTGGGACGTGTTCCCTGACTTTACACAGTCCGTTTGTGTCGTGCGGCAACTAGTGCTCGATCTGACCTGTTATCTGCTGTACCTATGCACTGCTATACATGGACTATAGCGTATGTTTTAGTATTCACTGCTATATCTGTACATAATAATCTTACAGCTGCCTGTGTGCTGTAACTGTGCACCAATGACCCGGTGCGAAAGTTTTCTTTTGGAATTATATATCCAAACACTCCCTGCAACTGTATTCAGGTACGCAAATATATTCATATTCATAATCAATTTAATCAATTATTTATTACCTGCTTGATTCTTTTGAACTCCTTGATTATCCAATAATCGACATCATTTTGAAGATGGGAGTTTTGAACGACCTTGACTGGCTATACAGCCCTCGCACGGTCGGCTCCTGCCCGGAGGCGATTGTTGAGCATTGAATATTTTCTGTTGTAGTTGGTCAGGAACAGGTGGAAGGCGCCAATTAGGTAGGCGGCCATCTTGGTTTACGTGAGTTGTTTTGGTTTGGTTTTTTTACTATTTTGACATCATTTTCTGACAGTGCGTCGGATTATATATTAGGTATTGGACTATACCATTTACTTTGGACGATACCAAAAATCTTATTCCTATAAGTGTTTGTAGAATACCTAAACCCTATATTGTAAAACGCTTCAATGATGGCCCTTAACTTTACAACTGCTAATAGGAATATTTCTGGAATTGCCAATCATAATCTGTCTCTTCCTGATTCTATACACCGAACAATGTTTTAACTTTATAAAAGTACTAATAAGTTAGATCTTTGTGAAATAAAACCGGTAAACTTTTTTCATCACATTAACAACGCCTCCAAGAAATGAGGGGCAAATGATATGCATCTTTTACTGTTAATTCGTTAACCTTGCGATAATCCACACAAAAGCGCGTAGTTCCGTCATTCTTCTTTGCCAATACATTCCAGAAGACCAAAGACCTACGGTTGGCTTAAATACCCCGCATTCTATCATGTCATCAATATATTTATCGTCTTCTTCTCCCATATAAGTAAGTGTGCTGTGAGGTGGTTGTTTTACTGATGCGTTATTTCCTTTATTTATGTTGTGACGCACCAAGCTTGTTCTACCTTAATCCCTGTCCGAGGCTGCAAAAAGATCCTTGTATTCATTTAGAAGATTTTCGATTCATCGTTTTTGCTCTTGTCCGAGATTACCGCTGCTCAGTAACGTTTGTAACTCAACACCTAGGTCCTGATCCCTATGTTTAACAGTGCTGTTTTCGTTGTCTTTGAAAGAGCTTGTATTTTCTCAATTGACCCAGCTCTTATTGTCTTCACTTCATTCGATATTATACTAGTATTCATAAAGCGCAGTGGTACTGTTTATGAGTCTTTCAATAGAGTTCTTGCCATTTAGGCGCTATCCGCTATGAAGTTGTCACATGGTTAAATAATTACTAATCCAACTTCATTATTTGTTGATGAATAATCGTTGATGCGACCTTGGACCAAAGCTTCTGCATGTACCTTTCTTACTTCTTCTTGACGTCTTGACTATCCATTAAGCAACTTCCTTTTCTAACAGTGCATCAGATTTTATACTAGTCATTGGACTAAAACATTTAGTTTGGACGATACCAAATATCTTATTCCTAGGAGTTTTTGTAGACATATAACCCATATTGTAAAACGTCTGAATGACGTCCCTAAACTTTACAACTATTGATCGAAATATTTCCGAGTTTGCCAATCATAACCAGTTCGATTCTGTTTCTAAATATTATACATTTCCATAGTAAAACGGTAAACAAACCAAAACTGAAAGAAAACAAACGTTCAATTTTCAAACTAAACGATTCCATTTAACAACGTTTTAACCTTATAAAAGTAATACTAAGTTAAACCCTAGTGAAATAAAATCGGTAAACTATTTCCATCACACATTTTCCAGTTAATTCATTCATAGGCTACGAAAAATTTCATATAGTAAAATAAATATTAAAATGATGATCATATAGACGCTGACTCTATCAAAGCACTAATGAATTACACGCATTATTATTATCTTTCTAAATAGTTTGATGTATTTACTTGATTATACCAAAAGCAATGTAAGATATATGAGGGTTTGGAAAGGAGATATACATTCTTGCATTTTTAAATTTTTATCGCATTTTCTGTATTTTTATTAGTTTTTAACACTATTCTCCATTCTTTATTTTTTAGAACCACTTTATTCTGTATTCTTTATTTTTCGGTCAAATTTCCACACCCCCCCCCCCCCCCCCCCCCCCAACTCTTTAATTGTTTGCCCTTTATTCTCCCTTCTCTACCCCTTCCCATTAATCTCTATTCTGTAAACCCTCATCTTCGCTAGCCAAGGGTTACTATCCGATACTGTAGAGGAGAAAACCGAATCGTAGCCCTTGGCTAACGAAGATAGTAAACTCCATGTCGACCCTAATATAATTATTTGTCTGATTAGACAAATTCAATTATTTGAAAAAAGGACAATTACAATTTATATATAGAAAGACTATTCGTTGTCTAGAAATATGAAATTGATTTGTACAGCTTTGTTTCATTTCTATCTATTTCGAGCCGGCTAAAAAATTTTTTTTATTTTTTGAGACAATGTATGGTTATTCTCTTTATACTGCAACTCTTAGAACATGTTCAAAATGAAATAATATTGATAAAAACCATTAACTTTGAATATGAAGCGGACGACGTAAAAATTCCGCGAATCTGTATTCTCTATTGGCGTCATAAATAAAACTCTACGGAAACCGATTAGTGAATGTATATCACAAATAAATATACGGTCAATGCAATTTGACTGCTCAGATAGCACAGTTGTAGTAGAAATTCTTATCTTATCAGTTCTTTTATCATTAATACTATTTTGCAAATATCTTATTTATTTTTCATAGTCTACGATCGGATTTCAAATAAATACTTGCAGATAATAATTTGGACTATGGAAATACATTTTGAACTTTCAAGGCCATATGGTTCTATTTTTACCTGTCTCTCCTATAGGTTTTTACCTGTGTGTGTATTACATATTCGTGTTGACAACTAGGTCAAGATCCTAGTTCATAATTATTTCTTTGCTAATTTCGAAATAACATCGACGAAATTGCTCATGTGCTGTGTATGACGTCACAGGAGTAAATCTTCTTTCTTATAAACTATATATATAACAAATAAATTAAATAATAAACATACCCGACTTGGAATCAAATCCATAACTGGATTAATTTCGACGCAATAATGGATGGCAATAGAGGTAAGATTATTTCAATTTCAAAACATTATTTCAAAAGTAATGATCGGTTTGTTACAAAGGGTACAAAAATAACAGTGGAAACGTAAGAACTTGAACAGTAAGTCACTCATTTGAGGAAGATTATTGGACATAAGTCGGATTAAATGAATAAAAAAAAAAAAAAAAAAAATTGATCAAAAATTTCCGTGTCAAAGTAAGAGTTCTGGCATTCGCGGAGTGTACTTGTGTGAAACAGATAGTTCTGTTGGATTACGAAGAGTTCCCATAAGCACTCTGTGTCAACCACGCCCTTAAATTAAGCGTGTTTAAAATGTCTTGCAAGTCGCAATTTTGAAAAGTTTTGCGTTTTAACCCTACTTCATGTATACATGCTTCTGCATTAATTATGTAAACAGACAGACAGATTTAAAATGAAGTCTTTCTGCATTTCTAAAACTATGCACTAATGTTAAAGAGAGGCGAAAGATACCAAAGGGACATTCAATTTCATAAGTCGAAAATAGACTGACAACCTCATGTTAAAAAAAGAAAATGGACTAAAAGACAAACAATAGTATTCAAAACACAATATAAAGACTGAGCAACACGAACCCCATCAAAAACCAGAGTTGATCGCAGGTGTTCCGGAAGGTTAACCAGGTCCTACTCCACATGTGGCACCCGTCGTGTTGCTCATGGAAGAACAAATCCGGTAATAAATCAAATTGATAGGTCACATTCGTGGAAACGAGGACGGAATTGTGGTTACGAAATTTGGAACATATCCGTCGTCATGTTAGTTTCTGTTAAAGGGGCGGGGACAGAACTAGCCACTGAGTTGTTATGGCGTTTGATCCAGGGGCGGGGACAGAACTAGCCACTGAGTTGTTACGGCGTTTGCTCAAGGGGCGGGGACAGAACTAGCCACTGAGTTGTTACGCCATTTGCTCCAGGGTCGGGGACAGAACTAACCACTGAGTTGTTACGGCTTTTGCTCCTGCAGTCAAATACGCGTCAATAGCAGTTGAATAATCTCAGGTTTTGGGTTTTTTTTTGTGTGTTTTTTTAGGGAGTTTATTTTATTGATTTTTGCGTGTTGTACAAACATTATCAACCTATAATAGTGACTGAAGTATTGATATTTTCATGTGTTATTAGTTGTTCACCTCTATATGATAATTTAATGCGATATGATACTCAGCGAGAACTTAACATTCATGCTTTAAATACCGCAGTTTACCCTTGTCTGATTGGGTAGATAGTGTGCCGGTGTGTACTTGTGTACTAAGGTTGACGAAAAGAATCATTTACTTAAAAATTTACAATATTTATTTATTTTCTTTCATTCAACATTTATAAATTCTATGTCTTGCGCTTTTTTCTTTTTTTTTTTACAAATACCAAATTATAACATTGTATGTCTATTGTTTTTTGTTTCTTTTTTACTTTTTGAGGCATGCTAGCACTGCAGCCATGTATCATCAATAATGCTTTTACGTTTTCTTTCAACTCCTTTTCACTCCTGCACCTAAATACAGTCATGTAAGCTGTCTCGTTGAATAAATGAGATGATAAACTTTAAACGAATAACTGTAACAGTTGTTCTATACATTTTAACCACATACTTATTTCATTTCAGTTAAACATTCAGACAATAGCCAAGGAGAGGACAGTGGAATAGGATGCTGTGGATGCGTTTTAATGGGACTATCATATGTTTTGGTTGCTTTATTTTTCCCATTTTCACTCTGCATGACGATAAAGGTAAGAAGCATCAAACGTCACTACTCGGCTACTTCCGACAAAGACGGAAATGACCGATGGTATACGATTGATCATGCACGAATAGTTAGCTATCATATAAATTTATGAAACTTGGACAGCTGCTCTTTTAAGGCAAAAGAGATAACATCTGAATCAAATTTTGAAAAAAAATACTTGTTTCTTTTTGCAGTATTTGACTGATAGATGGACTCAGTTTTCTGCATTTAACATTTACATACACGTGGGTTACAATTTTAGACACCAAATTCCCGGAGAGTTACAGAACACAAGCTTTTTAATTTGTGATCAAGAAATAGAATTTGGAAAAAGAGTTTAAATTTGTATCTTAATTTTTGCTGATAAATGGACTTAGCTGCTTTGTCTATGTTGTTGTTTTGCTGTCTCGTACCATTCAAATTGGTTTCCGATGCCCTTTCTGAAGTTGTTTGATAATTCAATAACTTAAGGCATAAATAATCACAATATAAGTACATTTTCAGAGTAATTTTTTGTCAAATATTCTGTCCGAGATATGAAAATTTAATCAAATAGCTTTTCCAATCATACAATTATGACTAGTGAGTTAAATAACATAGTCATATTTATACATAGTACTAAAACTATCTACAGGATTTTTATTTTTTTCGATTTTAGATCGTACAAGAATACGAAAGGGCAGTCATTTTTCGACTTGGACGTGTGCTTCCTGGAGGAGCCAAAGGTCCAGGTAAGGTTATTACAAATCAAATTCAGTTGTCAACAGAAGTGTTGTTGAAATTTTGCTAGCTGTTGTTGTTGAGTAAGTCATAATTATACAGGAGTCAGCCAACCATTGTAAGTTTTGCTCTATTTATATAGTTTGCAAAGACCGTTTCTGTCCATATAATAATTGTGGTAACTACTTTTATCATTTTGATAAATTATACAATTAAGATAAAACGCATGCATCATCTACTGTCTTTCCGAAATATTTGAATAAATATACCGTAGTTAGTTTTGTCAACAGAAAGTAAGCAACAAAGGACAATAAATTTATAGATAGTTGTTTTACTATAAAATGATATCACAATTATTTTATTTTTTTAAGAAGCAGAGTTTTTGTTTCAACATTTTTACAGGAATGTTCTTTATATTACCATGTCTTGATGAGTTCAAAAAGGTCGATCTTCGAACCGTGTCGTATGATGTCCCACCCCAGGAGGTAAGCTGCTTTTTGATCTCTAATCAAGCAGTTGCACGTGCATGTCGTGCTTAGTATACACCTACACGTTGTAGACATTTACAAAAAGATTTGATTCTCATTGAAAACGATAAAAATTAAAAATAAATTCTAGAACAGGTATTCTTTTGTATTTAAAACGTACGGAAGAACGAATGAACGAATGGACGAGGTCATTGCAGTATGCCACCAACTGTGTGAGTTGTATTTTATTAAGTTGTGAAAAAAATCCAGATTTTGTACGTTATACAGTTTTAGCGCACATGGGCCTCACTTGACCCACGGCCAGTAAGAGCTATTGCCATCACTCGACGTCTGTCGTCTATCTTCGACCGTTATCTGTAAATGACCGTTTTTACCCATTTTTGCATTTTGTTTGAAAGCATTAAAAGTAGATAATAAGAAACTGTTAAAATTAAAAGTTATCAACAAAATAAGATCTACAAGTAAGTCAACATGGTTGATATCATCAGTCGACTTCTTGTAGGAGTTTTGTCCTTTTTTTACCAAGTTTTTGCATTTTTGACTATAGTCTTGCTCACATTACATTATTAAAATATACATATATATGCTATTTAATAGGGTTAATCAACTTCAATTACAGTTTTCACCCATTTTTTTTTCGCACTTTTGCAGAAAACTCTAGTAGATATATAGAGAGAACATTTACACTAATTGTCGCTCTATTTTCCCTGAATTGTTAATCTCTTGAACGTGTTTTTTTTAACAGATTTTGACGAAGGATTCCGTAACAGTAGCCGTAGACGCTGTAATTTACAGCCGTATTTTCGACCCTACAATGTCTGTGTGTAATGTGGAAAACGCCGACAGTTCTACAAGATTGTTAGCAGCTACCACTCTCCGAAATGTCCTCGGAACTAAAAACATGTCTGAAATTCTCACTGACCGAGATTCAATTGCTGCTCAAATGCAGGTAATAATATGTATAATATGTTTACAACAGCGTGTTATAAACGCGTGTCTATTGTTTCCTTCTATTTCTCTAATTCTTCGTCAATTTATCCCTTTCTGCACCCATTGTATAAAAAAATTTAATCAACGTGTGGTTCGTTTGAACTCAGTTCTTCATTGGTTAAAATCCGATTATGACGTCGAATTTACTTGCTTTCCTCTGAATTTCTTATTGTGACGGCATGAAAAAAGGCGACCATGCCTGATGACGTTACATAGAAAGAACATATCTTTTTACAGATCATTCGAAAAGACGGAATAAGTTTGCCTGCATATTGTTTGAAAATCATTAGAGAAACAGATTCCACCACCAAATCTCGTGTAATACGATATGTATCCACTCTCGACAGTTAAATTTTAAATATTTAAAACGCTCGGCGAGCCTCGCGTTTTAAATTTGAAAATTTAACTGTCTCGAGTGGATAAATATCGTATCACACTCGATGCAGTGGTAGAATCTATATATATCCTTTCTGTTTTGTGTTGTCGGCTTGCTCAATCTTGACTCATCTTCAGAAACATTTTATTTTCATTCTTCAAGTGCTGTTTTTGTTTTAGGGGACACCCGGGGTGCAAAACACAATTCTTTGAAAATGTTGTTTTTGAAAAAGACAATCATTTGAAAAAGCTTTGCAAATGGCATTTTGAATTAGGGAGCTACCGTATGATTTTTATTGGGGGGGGGAGGGGGTGGATATCATGGATACCAGGATTAAAATTTGGACGCCAGAAGCGCGTTGCGTCTACCAAAGACTCATCAGTAACGCTCAAATCAAAAAAGTTAAAAAGGCCATGCAAATAAAGTACGAAGTTGAAGAGCATTGAGGGCCAAAAATACCGAATGGGTTTGCCAAATACAGCTAAGCTAGGTTATCTATTCATGTCAACTTTAAATTTAAATTCTATGTTTTCTCCTTGGTAAATCTAAATTAAAAACTTAACATGTGAATGTGATTTCTTAAATTTTCAGCACATTTTGGATGAATCGACAGATCCCTGGGGAATCAAGGTAGAAAGGGTCGAAATGTAAGTTATTGCTTATTTTTGATTAATATGAATAAATAAATATTTCATAATTATCAAATAAATTGAATTTTCACAACTGATGCATTTTATGCATGAGGAATTTCGTCACATTGATGTAATAATCATTAATAGCAAATTATGCAAATTAATGTAAATAATCATAAATGGAAAAAAATTTATGTCAACTATAAATGTAAATTAACCTATAGCTGTGCAATGGAACCTATGGGAATGTTTATAGATATTTCATATCTTTTGAATAGTTTTGTGGTGTTTCGTAAATTATACCATAGCTTTTGTTGAAACCCCCGGCAATAACCTCACGAGACGTCTCGTGAGGTTATTGCCGGGGGTTTCGACAAAAGCTATGGTATAATTTACGAAACACCACAAAACTATTCAAAAGATATGAAATATCTATAACTAATTAATATCAAATTTATGTCGAATGTAAAAACGTTTATTTTTTTAGTGTTAAGTTTTCAAAGTTTATGTCGATCTAGATCTTGCACAAAACATTTTAGTGCTGTCATGTTTGAGTTCCTCATTTTTTTTCACTTCCACATTTTCTTCTTTTTTTTTTAATTTATAGCAAGGATGTCAGACTTCCGGTACAACTCCAGAGAGCCATGGCTGCAGAAGCAGAGGCTTCTCGAGAAGCCCGCGCCAAGGTATGCATCGTACTATTTTATTATGAAAGTATTCTGTCAGTTCTTCGGTACTAGTGTTACTTTGTAAATTTTGAGTTCGTAAATTGAACTAAAACCAAGGTTGCATCTCCCTTAGTCAAATTGATCAGAAACGATTTTGGGTGTTGTGAATAAGCCCTTCAGCTTTAAGTTTATATGCTCTCAAACATTTCATAGTTTACTGTTTTCTTTGATTTTCAGCAACAGCAACCTTTACATGTGCATTTGTATTGTTTTCCCTTAAATTTCTCCTTTCGGGGATCGTGCATGAATATATCATTGTTAATGGGCACATTTACGAAAGTAGTTTCGGCAATCGAATTGTAAACCAATAAAAGAAATGCTAACGGACCAATCGCATGCATTCAAATATTAGATATGCAAATTTCGAAAGAAATAATTCCATAATCCAATATCTACCGAGACCGTAATTGCTTGAAAGACGTAAGGCAGCTTTCCATTGGATAAATTTATTAAACGTCATGGTCATTTTCGACTGAAAAAACAGTATCACAGATGGGGGTTTACAGAATAGAGAATAATGGGCAAACAGTATAAAGAATAGAGAAAAATGGCCTAAAAATTAAAGAATACAGAAATGAAGGATCCTCCTTCCAGACCCTCTTATATTCGTTTGTGTGCTTTGAGGTTCTAAAGCTAAAATGTCGGGTTTTTTTTATTAAGTTAAAATCATTTTATGAATGCTTAATTAAGGATGACTGTTCAAAACGGCAGTTTTGTAACTTTAAGCAAATTTTGACTGACAAAACCGTGAATAAGAAATACACCACACGAGGACTTTCTAAAACCAAATTTATCTTGAGTAAAGTTGCAATTGTGTACGCGTATTATCTTTCCGAGCTAATATATGTTGGTTCCGGATAATTTCGAAGGGGCAAAATTTATCAAAACAGGTGAACAATTCCGAAATGGCATTTTAATAGTTATGAATAACACATATGTTTATACTAATGGATGAATTTTATGTAAAATTGATGCAAAAGGTTTAAAGTGTGTCATTGAGATATTCGAATTTCATTCGCTTTATAATTTTGACCCTGTTCGTAAAATAAACACAAGAGAAACTGGCGATATGTCTTTGAATTGCAGGAAAACAACATAATCTATAAACTAACTGAATTTTCTTTCAAACAGGTTCTTGCAGCCGAAGGTGAACAACGTGCATCACGTGCGCTGAAGGAAGCAGCCGACATCATGGCCCAATCACCAGCCGCCATTCAGCTCCGTTATTTGCAGACGTTGAACAGCATTGCAGCAGAGAGAAATTCGACCATTGTTTTCCCATTGCCAATGGATTTATTGAAAGGATTTGCAAAATAATAGAGTCAAATGTGCTGGAATGCGGACTCGGCATGTAGTTCTAAAGCTGACCACATACATCCGATACGTACTCGCTTCTTAAATTTTTTAACGTTTGATTTCTTCGTTGATTTTTTTGCAAGATATGTAATGAAACGGTATTAAATGCATGACTTTCTTTTTCTAATTTAAACTTTTAAGAAGAGTATCTGAAATTACACGTTTTGTTATTGTAAACTTTGTGTGTTGTAAAGATAACTAAAATTTACTGGAGTTTTTTTCACAGTATTAAGCGAGCACAGTTTCACCTTGTATGCAATGAATACGTTTTACAAATTAAAAAAAAAAAAAGATATTAAAATTGTGTGCTGTTTTCAGTCCGACCTATATAAATCGAAAAACAAAAATTGTAAAAAAAAATCAGATGGAATTTGTAACTATTTTCCTGCATAAATTTGGCTTCTGAGACATTTTGAAGATTACCTACCTTAAGAATACCATTTATGCTATTTGTCAGCTCGAAATCCATTCAAAAACCATGATATTTTGCAGAACGTTGATTAGATTTTTGTAAATTTTCATGTATGGTTTCGGTTTTTGTAGCTTTCCTTCACTTTTTGTGTGTTTAAATATAGGATTTTTTAAAGTCGAAAGCAATCTGTGATGCCATTTAAAAATGATATAATTTGATGTGCCATTAAGTGCTGAGAAATCTGTGCTAGTACGTACACTGTTTGTTAAATCTAATATATTTTATACTTTGTATGATACTATGTATTATTCATATATGTCAATAAACTGGTTTCTTTAAACAAGTGCGTTTTCTCAACAGTTTATATTCAGGAAAACACCGTTTAGATTTCAAAGACCGATAATCGATCATCTGAGATAATTATTATAACTTATAACATGTATAATTCTGTGAGACAAGTACCTCACTGTTCAGACGTGCATCCTCGACAGAAGCGTCAGAGGTTAAGTAAAGATGTAAAGTGAAATTTTGCCCGTCCTAAAATCTGTTTACGAAAAAAAAAAAACGTTTCGTCGGATGCCTGGTTCTTTTTTTCAAAAGATTTTTTAAAGAGTTGTTTGAACATATACAATTGAACAAGTTTTGGGGTTATAATTTGTATACAATGACAAGGTCAAAGTTAAACATGTCATTAGAGTTACTACTATCGTGAATCTTGTGGTTAGTACTTCGCTTTGAATTAATAAGGCTTGTGTTCATACACATTGTATTCATGTAATGAGACGTTGCGCACAAGGCAACGTTACGTAAACAATAAGTAACGTAAACAATAGGTAACGTTAGTGACGTTAATTACATAGTAAAGGAATTACGCTAAATCCTTGACACTGGGGGCGCCGAGAAGTGAAAATTAATAAAAATATTATCAAGAAGAAATTAACATGTATACAAAGTGTGAAATAATAATTAATCATTTAAAGTCCATGTGTACGGCGTTTTGTGATGATGTGATTACAAGGCAACTCCAGAAAATCTTCTTTCATACGTTTTGCAATATATCGGTTGTCCTTCGTTGTAATACTATCCGATTCATATGTCTCTAAACAGCTATTTTTGCTAGAGTTCACTGATTTCGCCAGAAGCTTCTCCGAATGATTTGATTTTATTAAAACGTTCCAAATCGACTTCTTCCGTTTTGTGTTGTATCATGAAAGCTGAGGATGTGGGTCCAGCTGAGTCTTTCATTGGTCCAGAAAGTAGGTATCCGAGTTTTGATTCTACTGCGGTCGGGCCTGGTCCACGGATAATTTTGTCTTAGTAGTAATCAGAACCTATTAAAAGTGAAATCTTGAATTTATCCATGTCGCTTACAGGGTGCGCAAATCTAAGTCCACTGAGGTATGGCAGTTTAGCAGCATTGTAGGTCATGCGATTATGTAACGGTGCTGCGATAGTGGGAACAATTAATACATCCATCGGTATTTTCCTTCCGTTCTGAGTCTGTAAATCTATTATGGCAGTGTCTAAATTGCGTACATTTCTGTGTGCATCTCCAAATGCTGCTACGCTAATTGTCGAAGTTCCATTTGGTTTTAATTGTAATTCTGTTGCTAATTCTTTGCTTATAAACGATTTCTGAGATCCTTCATCTAAAAGAATATTGGCAGTAGCTGACCTGTCATCTACACAAACTGGTGAGATGGCTGTTTTTAACAATACGTCTATACTTGTTTTAAAGACCAAACAGCCTATTCAGTTCTACCAGTGATTTTTCCTTAAAATTTTGTGTGAAGGTATTTCATCATTTGAGGAACAAAATATGATAAAAAAAATTGGGGGTCACCGACTTAGTTTTGTCACTATAGCAACCTCAGTTTCGTGTTCTCCCGAATATTAACATGATATTTGCTTGTTATGTAAACTCTCAAAAAATCCCATTATATCAAACCTACAAGCATAATTCTTGTTTCATATTAAACTGTAGATTTGTGTCTATCAATTACAGGTTCAAGAGTTTAAGACTCTTATTGTTTTGATCTAAAAAAATATGATTTATTTCATTCCTGCTAAAAATAAAACGCAAGAATGAAAAACGTTTCAAGTATTAAAAAATATCTACCAGTGATTTTTTCATAAAAATTTCAAGAAGGAAAGTGACATGTGTACTCTTCAAAATAAAGCAAAAAAATGTATATGTCATCGACCTTTCAAAAAAGTTATGATTAATTTTCATGTTTTTTTCTCGTTCGTTTTGAAGAAAAGAGTTGTCTTTCTTCAGAACATTGAATCTGACGTCATAGTACAAGTTTTCCTTGCTGGCGTACTGTTTGAAAAAAATTGCAAATTGGACGTTTGAAACCCACATTTAAATTTTCAAAAATCAAGAATAACAACTATATTCACCTACTTTATTATCCGGTAATACAAGAGATCACATGTATGTATCAGTATCAGATCTCATGATGTTGTTGCCGCACAAAATTAACCTTCAGAAACACCATCCGTCGGAATGAAAAATTGTTCGAACTAGCCATTTTACGACGCTTTAGAAAGGAAAGTCTGTTTTTGTCCTCTCCCTCTCATTAGCAAAATCATTGAAAATAAAAAGAGAAATGAAAGATGACACTGGCTAACTTACAGACTATTTGACTATATTAGACTAGATGTGTATGTTTTTTTGTCGCGTCAATTTCAGAACTTCGCCCTAGCGTACTCTTTCGCTACTGTTGACAGACGGACAGACATTAGCACGGACGGACTTCTTCATACCATTATGTGTCCCGACTAAGACGAGCGTATATAAATTATTCAATCTAGTTTGTGGATTCATTATTTCTGAATATTTAAAATATAAGAAAATTAGAATTATAGGTATAATATATGAATTAAAGTTTTAAACTTCTGATTCTAAAACGTTATACATCCATTTATCATAAAATACGATCCCCGTTATTATTACCTCACGTGTTTTGAATAAACGAGACAGTAAATATAAAATACAAATAAGTTTTTAATTCAAAAATTGATTTAGAATCTAAGAAATAATTTTCCGTTGAAAACTATAAAATATTTCTCAAAACTGGATGAAATATTATGAATCTAAATAGCTCATTTTGGAAATTAAAACAAAGACGAGGTATGTACAGATTGCCGGCATTGAAAATCGAAATTTGTTTTCAATCTTTCCGGTCATTGCAGCTTTTTGAAAGTGAGAAATGTTATGTTGGATCTTATTCTTGAAGCAATTATTTTTGTCATAAGTTAAATTTACAACAAGTTTAGTTTTAAAAACCATAAATTAATATTTTGTCAATTAAGCAGTATAGATAAAATTTAACTTCATTGCAAGATCACCATTAGTTTACGAGAATCTTAAAGAAATAAGTTAATCTCAACATGCATACGTTGCCAGTATATCGAAACTTCTAGAAAGTATTGTTTATCGGCCCAACCTTCTGAAAACTCAATTTTGAAAATCACATATTAAGTTAAAATTTTAAGCGTAAGTCATATAAATTTACCAGTGTAAAGTTACACGGGTGTACGAGATTTGCGCCGATTTAAAAAAAAATCGATCTTTAATTTGCTCCGATTTGATTCTTTCATTAGCGCCTTTTTTTTTTTATCACTAGCCCGATACTATATTTGCTTTACGAGTAAATACATGTACATGTAGTAAACCTAGAATATTGCATGGTAATATATGGATATAAACAGTGTTCCCTTATGTTTAAGATAATTTTGGTCATATTGTTCTAGAACTTCGTTTTGACACGAGAAAGAAAAGATGGACTTCGTTGTTGGCAAGTACAACAAGTATAGAAAAGATGAAATGACAAATGCAAAAAGCCGAGTTCAAAATTTATATGTTTATTATTATTTTTATTAGAACGGAGGTTACAGATAGTGTAGTATCTTTTGTGTCCATTTGTGTTTAATTTCCACTAGGTATTAGCGCGACGCTTAATTCCACTTTTCTTGGAAGACGTAGTTTTAAGCGTACATCATGTTGGAATCCGTGAAAAAAACGCGAAATAGAACTTTATAATTTGACGTTTTTTCATGGCTAGAAACAACGTCATAGAGCTTTTATGTCACTAACAAATTGCGTTAGTTGATGCGCATCAACAATAGGCTGTTTGGTCTTTAACGCTCGATGTTGACGTGTAGAATGTTACTGTATCATTGTTGCTCTCTACTGTATTTACACTTGTATTTTGCGGTAAGGGTTTCATTGTACTTACATTTTCTCTTTCTTGATTCTCATTTCTATCACAAACGCTAGTGTGATGTTTGCTATTACAATTCCTACATCTAAATCGTGAGCGGCATTCCGAAACTTTGTGATTGCCAAGGCAATTGTAGCTTACCTTATTCTGTTTTATAATAGCTAAGCGGCTCTCTCTGTCCACAACATTGGTACATTCTAGGGACGAATGCGATTGTTTGCAGTAAATACAGGTTTTGGGTTTAAACTGATTTGTTACTGATTGAGGTCTTGCAGTGATTTTGGGTTCAACTGCTGTGTGAAAAGACGCTGTGGGAGTGAAACTGTCTAATTTATCTGAATTACCAGTTTCCTGAACGTACATTTCTTTACCGATTGCTTCTCTTAGGGACCTAATATACCAATTCCGTTTTCCGTGTTCTCTGGTCATCAGCTTTTTCATTTCGTCGGGCAATTTTCCAAATATAATTGGTACTAAAAGTGATCCGAATGTGTCTTGCGATTGTCCGAGCGACTCTAATCCCCTTATGCACGATTCCATTTTATCGTAAAATCCTCTTATGCTGTGCGGTGTAAGTGACGGGTGCGTAAGTTCAAGTAAATTCTGCATGTACGCGTTTATTATTGTTTGTGTCTGTCCATACCGCTCCTTTAGCAATATAATTGCGTGGTCATAGTTGGCGTTTGATAGAGATAAACCGGATATGCATTGTGCGGCTTCACTGTGTATCTGAGATTTGAGATAGCTGAACTTTTGTACATTTGTCAAAGAGGGATTGTGATGAATGGTTGTCTCAAACGATTCCCAGAATGTCTGCCATGTTAATATGTCTCCCGTAAAGTTCGGTAGATCAAGCTTAGGTAGTTTGTGATAGAAATTTGTTGTTGTTGTTGGGTTTGCGTTCGAATAAACGGAATTATTATCCACTGAAAATACATTTTCAGAATGGTTTGAGTTGTGATTTGCAAGTGTATTTGCTATTGGAACATAAGTTGTTTCACTTACCGTTTGCTGAAATGGGGTTGTTTTGTTTCCAGAAACTATGTGCTTGAATCGGCGAATGGCGACTTCCATATTCATTGTATACTCGTCCGCGTCAAGAATTTCTTGTTCCATGTCTTCTAGTTCGGTTCCATCTAAGATCTGTGAGTCTAGAGATTCAAGCAGTATCCTCTTCTTGATCAGGGTATCTGCGGCGGCCGAAAGCTCTTGATTTTCAATGTCATTTTCCGAAATTCTCTCCTTGGTTCTATTTATTAGTCTTGTTACTGCGCTTCGGTGACCACCACGAATTGCTTTTAACTTCTCCATTGGTCACGGCACCAATAATGTGAATCTTGTGGTTAGTACTTCGCTTTGAATTAATAAGGCTTGTGTTCATACAAATTGTATTCATGTAACGAGACGTTGCACGTTCATATTGGCATCGAACCAGCTTTCCGTAAATACGAGTACTCTTAGATCCAACACTTTGTGTCTTTTGTCTTCATGTTAGCTTTTTTTGTGCTTTGCGCCGATCGGGTGAATCAAGTCATTTCCAACTGATATTTAGAGCTTGTTTTTATGAAGTGCTGTTAAACCAATGACCTAGGTTAGGAAGAGGATTTGAGCGCGCAAACGTTTTTAACCCCGCCAAATTCTATATACCTGTCCCAAGTCAGGAGCTTGAAATGCAGTGGTTTTTGGTTGTCATATTTGTTTTTCGGTTATTTGGTGGGTTTTTTTTGGTCATAAATCTGGCCTTTGGATTTTTTGTTTGAAATGTTTCACATTTTGTCATGTCGGGCCATTTTATAACCGACTATACGGTATTGGTTTTGCTCATACTCATTGTTGCAATTTGTCCGCCATTACTGGACATCAAAAAGGTTCCCGTAAAATAGAAAATGTCAGACGTCAAAAAGGGAAAGCGATTGTTGTATGACGTCAAGGGGGCCTCGGTGGCCGAGTGGTCTAAGTAGTCGAACTACTGTATCACTAGCCAGTCAACACTGAGGTTGTAAGTTCGAATCCCGCACGGGGCAGGTCATTCGACTCCAATCTTAATTGACTAGGATTGTCAGTTTTCCTACCGAAGGTCGATGGTTATCTCCGGGCACTCGGGGCTTCCGTCATGCATTGCAGAGGTATTGTCACTTCACTAATATCTGCATATGTTAAGTTTGTACTTTTTATTACGTAAACAATAAGTAACGTAAACAATAGGTAACGTAAACAATAAGTAACGTAAACAATAGGTAACGTTAGTGACGTTAGTTACATAGTAAATGAATTACGCTAAATCCTTGACAACTACAGCTAGTGTTCCGGTCTTTTTATCGTTTGGCAGAAGATGATTTGTGCATGATAGTGTCATTTCTTTGCTGCGTCTGTAGCTTAGGGGATAGTCGTCTGTAGCTTAGGGGGTTGTCGTCTGTAGCTTAGGGGGTTGTCGTCTGTAGCTTAGGGGATTGTCGTCTGTAGCTTAGGGGGTTGTCGTCTGTAGCTTAGGGGATTGTCGTCTGTAGCTTAGGGGATAGTCGGTTGTAGCTTAGGGGGTTGTCGTCTGTAGCTTAGGGGGTTGTCGTCTGTAGATTAAGGGGTTGTCGTCTGTAGCTTAGGGGGTTGTCGTCTGTAGCTTAGGGGATTGTCGTCTGTAGCTTAGAGGGTTGTCGTCTGTAGCTTAGGGGGTTGTCGTCTGTAGCTGAGGGGGTTGTCGTCTGTGGCATTGGGGATTGTCGTCTGTAGTTTAGGGGATTGTCGTCTGTAGCTTAGGGGGTTGTCGTCTGTAGCTTAGGGGATTGTCGTCTGTAGCTTAGGGGGTTGTCGTCTGTAGCTTAGGGGGTTGTCGTCTGTAGCTTATGGGGTTGTCGTCTGCAGCTTAGGGGGTTGTCGTCTGTAGCTTAGGGGATTGTCGTCTGTAGTTTAGGGGATTGTCGTCTGTAGCTTAGAGGGTTGTCGTCTGTAGCTTAGGGGATTATCGTCTGTAGCTTAGGGGGTTGTCGTCTGTAGCTTAGGGGGTTGTCGTCTGTAGCTTAGGGGGTTGTCGTCTGTAGCTTAGGGGATTGTCGTCTGTAGCTTAGGGGTTGTCGTCTGTAGCTTAGGGGGTTGTCTGTAGCTTAGGGGATTATCGTCTGTAGCTTAGGGGATTGTCGTCTGTAGCTTAGGGGTTTGTCGTCTGTAGCTTAGGTGGTTGTCGTCTGTTGATGCCTGCTATAATTACCTTTGATGGTTTCCTATTTTGAATGTACAATACGGGCCGATATATGTTTTACTCATTCTTGAAGGCCGTACGGTGACTGAGAACGTGAACTATTTATTAGTTCTTATTGGCATCGAACCAGCTTTCCGTAACTACGAGTACTCTTAGATCCAACACTTTGTGTCTTTTGTCTTCATGTTAGCTTTTTTTTGTGCTTTGCGCCGATCGGGTGAATCAAGTCATTTCCAACTGATATTTAGAGCTTGTTTTTATGAAGTGCTGTTAAACCAATGACCTAGGTTAGGGAGAGGATTTGAGCGCGCAAACGTTTTTAACCCCGCCAAATTCTATATACCTGTCCCAAGTCAGGAGCTTGTAATGCAGTGGTTTTTGGTTGTCATATTTGTTTTTCGGTTATTTGGTGGGTTTTTTTTGGTCATAAATCTGGCCTTTGGATTTTTTGTTTGAAATGTTTCACATTTTGTCATGTCGGGCCATTTTATAACCGACTATACGGTATTGGTTTTGCTCATACTCATTGTTGCAATTTGTCCGCCATTACTGGACATCAAAAAGGTTCCCGTAAAATAGAAAATGTCAGACGTCAAAAAGGGAAAGCGATTGTTGTATGACGTCAAGGGGGCCTCGGTGGCCGAGTGGTCTAAGTAGTCGAACTACTGTATCACTAGCCAGTCAACACTGAGGTTGTAAGTTCGAATCCCGCACGGGGCAGGTCATTCGACTCCAATCTTAATTGACTAGGATTGTCAGTTTTCCTACCGAAGGTCGATGGTTATCTCCGGGCACTCGGGGTTTCCGTCATGCATTGCAGAGGTATTGTCACTTCACTAATATCTGCATATGTTAAGTTTATACTTTTTATTTTAGATGAAGCATACGTATCCTACACCTTAAACCTGTTTTCAAATAACACTGGTACATGTATTTGCTTCTAAACCAGGCATATAGCATTAAGTTGTACAACCAAATACATTTTGAGTTACATATTTGCCGCTGGACGTTTAGACTGTAATTAAAGATGCAATATGTGTAAAATTCGGGATAATGATTTTACTGCTTTTTGTTCTGTAGAATTAATGAATAATAACTTCAGTATACATTATTCTCATAAAATAACATAACAAAAATTTGAGAATGCAAACGGGGAATGAGTCAAGGAGACAACAACCCGACCAATAAGGGCAGAAATATATTCTTAGTACAAACACTAACCTATAATGTGAAATATTTATGGCTCCTTTGTGTATACTTAAAATTACTTCAAAACTTGAAAGAACAAGTCACATTATAACATTTGTTGTGTGTTATCTAAAAACAAATATGTTGACGATGCTGGTTTCTTTGAATGTATGTATATTGTCACGCATTACTATTGTCTTTGGTCCTCTTGTGTGTTAAAGAGAGGTGAAAAATACCAACGGGACATTCAAACTCATAAGTCCAAAACCAACTGACTATGTCATGGCAAAAAACAAAAAACTTCCAAAAGACTAACAACGGTACACACAACACAGCATAGAAAACTAAAGTCTGAGCAACACAAGGATGTTCGCTACTCTGTTTTAAAATAACAAGCTTTTTAAAAGACTGTTATAAATTGATAGTATATGAATAAAGAATCTTTTCTTTCAAAAACGATGAAAAAATAACAAGGATTTTATAAGATTTTCAAAGATGACATTTTAAACTATATGTAATCAAATTATGGAAAGAAAAGTAGGTGTTAGTGGGCAAATTTTTTTAATATCACTACATGGATAATAACAGAGGATTCCGAATATCTGGCAATAATTCAAAAACAAAAGAAGCGACCATCCTTATCAATCTCAATTACGACATGACGAAAATCAAAACCTAAAAAAACTAAATTAATAAAATACGATAAATAATAGGGTCAATTCTCACAATGTATCAGTTTTTTTCCAAATCATCACAACAGTTTCAATTCTTTATAATACACGTAACAAACCAATCGTAGTTTTGAAATTAAACTTGGTATGGTAGTTTTTGTCCTTTTTTTTTTTATTTCTTACAAACAATTCGCATAATAACAAAATATGCTTAAAAGCATTAATACATATTATACTATTTCTTTTAAAACATTTGAATATACATACATATTTCATTTCACACATCTACACTGGTTTTATATTAATCAGTATGACAGTCTCCTATGATATTTCAATAAATATACGTTTTAAACAAAACAGCCATTATTTCATGATAACGAATTTATGATTAATGAATTTAAATTCAAAACAATCATATATCAACTTCGCTTAACACAGTGTAAACCCCCCATTTTTACAGGCATACTAAATTCAAGTATATTTGAAACACAGAAAATGACAGTCCTAGAAAATTATGATTTGCAATGATTTTACGAAACTCTTTTTGAAATGTTCTACTCTCCGTTGTCTTCTTTTTTCGCTTCTTCCGATTTAGGTTTCTGGTTTTTCTTCTGGTTCTTTTTTGCTTTCCTCCTTCGGAGCAGGAGCTTTTGGAGGGTCTTTAGATTCTTCTTTTGGTGAAGCAGCCTTTGGAGGGTCCTTAGAATCCTCTTTTGGTGAAGCAGCCTTTGGAGGGTCTTTAGATTCTTCTTTTGGTTGATCTTGTGGCTTAAGCATCACACGTGACTTAGATTTCGCTTGTAGAAGACCTGGGTTCTGCTGATTTTGTATTTGTTTAGCAAGTCTTTTGACATTACATTGCAGATCATCAACTGCGTCATGTATCAGTTCAATCCTCTTGTCGAGATTTTGTAGACGTCTTTCCTCTTTTCTTGCGGCATCCTCATCCAGAAGGTTGTCTTTACGAAGAAGTTGTTGACCCTTGTGCATCAGATTCTTCTTGGCTTCTGGGTATTCTTCTAAAGCATCCCATAGATCCCTTTTCGACAAACAAAACAAATCTGAATAACCAACACTGCGCACGCTTGCAGTTCGACGATTACCGGTCTTGTTTCCCGAGATATTAAGAACGCTGATTTCGCCAAAGACGGAGCCATCGCTAAGCGTAACAAAAATTACTTTTCCATCGTCTGACACAACCTGTAATTTCCCGCGTTTTACAATGTACATGTCTTTCCCGATGTCTCCTTTACGACATATATAATCACCAGGGCTAAAGACCTGTAAACGAAGTTTCAACACAAGTTCGACAAGCAATCCTGGCTCACTGTCCTGGAAAATCGCAACTCGTCTTAATGTCCCTAAATGAACGTGAACCGAAATTTCGGCGCGTAGTTTTTCGGGAAGGTAAAATAGTACTTCTTTGTCATCAAACGATTGCTTATTATTCCATGTGTAATCGAACCATTTGATGACACGTACTTGGAGTTCTCCGAAAACACCTCTTAGTTCCATGTATCTCTTAACTGAATCGACCTTTGCCTGATATTCCGTTCTTGCGGCATCCATTCCGTTAATTAACGCACCAACGTTTCCAAAAATAGTAGCAAAAATCAACACACCAACCAGTGAATCGACTATGCAGAAACAATAAGACATGACTGTTTCCGGATACGCCGTGTCTCCGATTGTAGTCAACGTCAAGCAAGACCAATAAAAACTAGTTACATACTGCTTAAAGAAATTTCCGTAATCTTCGGTGGTTGGATCGGGGTAAACCCAACCATCACTTCCGAACCCAAGATAACGGCTTATTGAGAAGTAAAAACAGGCGTTCCAGTGTATAATGATGATAATGTATAAAATCAAACGAGCAACACCAAAAAGATTGGGAAAGTTTGTATGAGTCTGAGCCAAGCGAAAAAATTCCATCATTCTCCAAATTTTAATAATTCTGTTTAAACGAAAGGCTGTATTTCGTTGTAGGAAATAAAAAAAGTCCGTTGGTAAGACGGATAATATGTCGGCCTTGAACATCCAAGACTTCAAGTATACGTTGGTCAGGCGACCTACATCTTTCACCAAGAGACCACTCTCAAGAAACCCTGAAAAAAGTAAACGTAGATATAACTTGAATTAGGATTAATATTCATTTGTCTATTTACAATTACACCCATATAGGTAATGGGCAAAACATGAAAATACTGTACATACGAAATACACCCTATTACGTATATATATATATACTGCTGGGTGTCTTTAATTCTGTATTTGTATTTTTGGGGTCATTTATGTCGTTGGTTGCTGACTGTTATATCAGGCCATAGTGTTTTTTTTTCCATTTGAATTGTATTACATTTTGTCATGTCGGGGCCTTTTATAGGCTATTAGCTAACTATACGGTATAAGTTTTGCTCATCGTTGAGGGCCGTACAATGACCTAGGATTGCTGAAATCCAAATTATTAAGACTCGATTACATGGCTGTCTTATAAACAATCCAACCATATCTCCTTATTTTCTACAAAGACAAATTTTGAGTCTTGGCAAAGGCAATATATTTCTGTCATTAATAATACCAAATTCTAAAGACAACAAGATTTGTCGGTATGACACGAAAGCCTCCGCCTACAACCTTATCACGTAAAGTCGATTAACTGGATCTTACGCAAACCCGAAATACCTGGTCTAAATCCGCAGTCATAACGAGAAAAAGCCTGGACAACTGTTTGATCCCAGAAGACAGGAATAAACGGCGGACGAGGATCTGATGAATCAAGCCATTCCCAACTAATTATAATATGTTGTTACACCTTTGTATAAGGTGAGGGGAGTGTTAAGCGCTCACAAACATATCAAACTCCACCACATTCATTATGTGCCTATCCAATGCCAGAAACCTGTCATACAGTAGTTGTCGTTGGTTACTGTAGATGCCATATATCTTTTTCGTTCATTGTTGTAGTATGGATTAAGTCGTTGCATTTCTCTTTTGAATTTTTTTCACGTTTTGTCATACCGGGACATGTTATAACTTAATAAACGCCAACAAACGGTATGAATTTTGCTTGCTGAAAGCCATACGGTGACCTGTTATTTCTCACCTTTCTGCCATTTGTATATGGGTAGTTTTCTGATAGACTACAGATAACGATATCATTAGATTCCATTGCTGAAAGGTTGAATTATTGGAATATTTCACAGGGGCGGATTCAGGCGGGGGCATGGCGGGCGTGCGCCCCCCTAAAATTTGCAAAGCATGGGTTGTCCTTAGCTTAATAAAGAATATTTCGATAATTTTACCTCAAAAATAATTTTGCAAAAAAATTTAAGTTTGCGCCTTTTTTAAGGACTAGTTTTGGGTCCCGAAAAGCCCTTAAAAAGGCTGTCAGACGTCAGAGCAATCCAGGACTAATGATCAATACCATTACACTGGCTACCACTGTAGTGAGTACTAACCGATTCTGCTTTTGACAAACATATCACATAGATAGAAGAAGTCGGAGATATAATCGAAGGCAAACCAGATGGGTATAGTGTGTGGAGACTCTACTTGATCATGAAATGTTATTCTCAGGATGATGAAGACGATGTTGTACATGATAATCGATGCAGCCAACATGGACCAATAGTAATATGGGAAATCAGCAGGGTCAAAAACCAGCTCCTTCCAAAATCTAAAAATAGAAATTTTTAAAGTTACAATATCAAAATTCTAGTATTTATCTACGTCTACGGCATAATCATTCATGTCAACTCTATAAAAGATTTCAAGCCAATCAAGGTCATCGCTTGATGACGTAGTAGAGGTTAGACATGCAGCTAACCTTAGTTTGATCCGATTCAATCACGGCACATGCAAGTTACTGTAGCGGTGCTTTCTTTGACCATAAAAAAGTAGCCGCCCTCGATAAGTTACACTATTCATCTAGTGGAGTACTCTTTTTGAAGTCCTGCTCTGCTAATGGCACCCGTCATGTGGCTCATGTCTTGTATAAATCAGTTAATAAGTCATATAAAAAAGGCAGAAATTAAAATAACAAGAAAATACAAAAGAATTTCTTTTAGAAATCAACAACATCAAACGGAAAGGAGAATTCATATAGAATAACAGTCACCATCATATAGATCTATAAATTAATTTCAATCTAATTTAAAAAAAAAACAGCTACATATTGCAAACAGCGCCACCATACATTGGTAGTGTCATGAAAACTCATTAAAAATTAGGTGATTACTTTTTCGTAAATAATTTAGAACATTCAAAATGATCATCTTCGTCTTTTTCAAATGCTCTTCCGGTTACTGTAAATTTATCTAGAAACGGGTCTTTCTCTACAACCTCACTCTTCCTTCTGATCTGCAAAAAATAAAAGGAATGTTATATACTTTCCTCAAATAAATATAGAATAATGGACATTGCACTCTGCGGTTGGTCTATTTTTAGGATTTATTCACAAGGTAGGACGTCTTTAAGGAGGTTTTTAAAAGATCTTACATATATTGTGTAACAGTGTAATAAATGTTTGTATAACTGGTAAATTATTCAGAAATATAACTATAAGGTTTTTGTCTTTTTTTTATAGTTAATTTGTCTTTTGTCATTCGTACCAATCTGATGAGTCAATCCCTTTACAACTGAATTTTACATTTTGTTCTTATGTTGTTCTGTTACACCAGTGTCAGAGGTAAGAAGGCTGAGAGCTCGCAATCACGTTTGCCTGTCCGAAGTAAAAAACCTGAAATTCAGTGATTGTAATTGTTTGATGTCAGTCATATTTGTTCTTCGTTTCTTATTTTGTCAAGATTCAGACCGTTGGTTTTCTCGTTTGAATTTTTTTTATCATTTTTTTTTATTTTGGAGCCTTTCATTACTAGTCCTTGATTGCACTGACGTCTGGTGGCCTTTTTAATACTTGATAGGGCCCTCAATCATCGAAGACGAGGGGAGTTTTTAACGACCTTGACTATCAATGAGGGTCTTGCACATCGGAGAAATCTCGGACTTTTAATAGCTGGCTATATTGTATGAATTTTGCTCATTGTTGAAGGCCGTACAGTATCATAAGGTTGCTTAAATCCACGTTAAACGAACTATGGTTGATAGTTGTCTCTCTGGCAGTCATTCACATGAAAAATATCCTTTTGATTTAGGTTCATTTGCATAAAATAATTTTGCGTCACTTTCTAAGACGTCCAAACTAAAAAAATGAGCATTTGCTCGAATTTCAAATAATCTGATTAAAATACAGCTTACTAGGCAAAGATCGGACAAAGGATCTGAATTTTTATCAGATTGGAATTTCAAACAAAAGAATTTATAAAAATAAAAAAAGTTCTTACTTACCGATCGTCTCTGATTCTGAAAAAGAGAAAGGAAAGAAGAACTTAAACAATAATATAAACGAAATAGATATTTATTAAACTATTCAATCATTACTCAATATTTCAATGAATACCTGTGTAAAAGTAAAATGTTCCATCACATAATACTAGTAATACAGCTGTTATATCTCACATGATAAAAAATGGGATTGCTCTCACTCAAAGACGCGTTAACAAGATATTAAAAACTTTCCCTTTTCATTTTTTTATTCAAATTATTATCAAAAATAATAAAAAGTGTTTAATACAAGTAGAAGACGGGACTCCACGCCGATGAGACAGCGACCCAGCCCCATCAAAACTAAAAAGACTCCAAGGTGTTAACGCACGATTCAAGGCGTTAACACACGATTTATATCGTTGTCATCGTTTTTTCCCCCATTCTGTATCCTGTGTGTGAATAAAAATCTCTCGCCTGCCCGCAGCAAGCAGATGTGCCTGCCCCGGTGCACTAAGTCAGGAGACCGTAATTCAGTGCCTGAGTGGTTGACGTTGGTTGCGGTCGTCATATTTGTTTTTCGTTTATTTTTTTTACCATAAATCAGGCCTTTGCAGTGGTTCCTAAGGCTTTGAGAAATCAACTGGACATTTGGTCCAGTAAACCATTCTTCTTAACTGGACCAGACTCTTTTTTACAGTACATTTACACATATGATTTGGACGAAATCAAAATTGTATTGGTTATTTGATTCAGTAATGCACATCACTTAACTGGACCAATAGAAAATGAAAGGATATGGAGTAAATGTACATGGGACAAAATCGCACACTACACATAGAAAACATAGAAAATTATCAATGAACAGGGCTTTTATTCCTGTTCTTCATCTTGACAGTTGATGTAGGGTCTTCAACAATGAACGAATCATTCATACCCCACAACAAGGTCAAGACGGCCAATTTTTACTGGATTTTACCCAATGTCCGGCGACCTTGGGAATGACTGCCTTTGGGTTTTTATTTTTTTTATTTTTTAGGTTATTGTTTCCCATTTTGTCGTGTCAAGGGCTATTATGAGGGTCTGGATGGGATTTACAGAATAGCGAATAATAGGCAAAAGTGCAGAATAAATTGCAACATCTACGTCATTTGGACTCAAACGGATAGTTGTTTCATTTGCAATCATATTAACCTCTCCTCATTTTATATTCAATATACCCAAGTCCAAATTGCTTACTAGGCCAGCTATTATATCTCAGTTATTTATTTAAAGAGCTAGTAAATTTAAATGGTGGCAAGACAATTCCAGAAGGAACTAGCCCAATTGATCAGCTCTTAACACATCTGTACAGCCTAAATCTAAATTTAAATCTAATAGCAGTTATTTTTTTATAAAATATTTGTTGTTTGCGGTAAAGGATTGTACGGTAGCCTTTTGTCACGGGTGTGTAAGACGTTGCTATTTTGTGCACGGACGACCAACGGGAAATTAAAATGAAGGGCTATTTGACGATAAACAAAGAGGGAAAATATTGCTTGTACGTTGCTTTTCCACCATGTTTAAGCACGAAAATACGTGAAAGTAAAAAACGCAAACATATTGCACGAAAATAACGCTTTAGCATCCTCGATTTAGAATACAATATCAGATGTGGGACCTTAATTTATTCTTAAATTTGTTTAGACAGTTTTTCTCTATTTTTTGGTTTTTTGCCTATTATTCTCTAGTCTTTATAATTTAGCACCCCATTATTCCCTCACCTTTATCATTTTTGCATAGTTTTGTCTTTCCTTTATTAGTTTGCAATTTATTCTGCACTTTTTACCCATTATTTTTTATTCTGTAAACCCCATCCAGACCCTCAAATCACTCTGTCTCCGGTCCTGTAATTTCTTTTGTCCAATAAGATCGCTCCTTTTGATGCCATAAAGTTGAATGAACGAACAAAACAGATGGTTGGTTTTCGTGTGGTGCGTTGGAAAAGTGGAATACCAAAGCGTCAAAAAAGAGGGACAAAAGATACCAGAGGGACAGTCAAAAGAGGGAGAAATTGTAGATAAAAACACAGCTGGGAACACCAAGAAAGATGACAGACGGAACTGTATGGATCTTATTTTATATTTCTGACAGTTTTCCCAACCTATTCACATATTTTCAAGCTGGAAAATGTAACCTGTTCCACAGGCACTAGACGTTCTATCAATTGTAATAAAATATGGGCAATGGGAAGAAAATAGCGTCAATAGTAGCCATTTTTATATACATCACTACATTGACACTAGTTTCTTCCCATTGCCCATATTTTATTACTATTGATAGAACTTCTAGTGCCTGTGCCTGATCCAGCGGCACGTCCTATCAATTTGTAACGCGCTAAATGGGGATTATATTGACCCTCAGCCTCAGGCTCAGACTTCTTCCTCGGTGAAAAGTCCATAAAGGCATAATTGATAAATATATATAGCTCATCATTTGTGATGTTAATTTATTTATGGACTTTTCAATATACTTTGCATTTACTCCAGCTGATGTAATTTACGCTCTTATCTTAAATAATTAAATTGTCGTCAATATTGGAATTCACAATCATATATCCAGCTTACCACATTTTTGACAGCTGTTCCCCATTTAGCGCGAGTTTTAGGGGCGCCAGCCTCTTTATCATCTTTTTCCTCGGACTCAGAAGCGTCATCTTTTGCCCAGATTTTTCGTGCAATGGTAAATCTTCTAAATGCCCTAATCATTTTCCTAGATCGTGTTTAATAATCATATTTGCCTAAATCACACTAAATATTTGCAAAGGTAGCCATTTTGTTGTTAAGGCGTTATGACGTCACACAACCGAACGCTAAATCAAAGATGGAGTGGAAATGAATATAATACGGAATCGCTTCGGTTCAAACATAGGAATATTATTATAATATTATAACATTGACCCTGCATTGTATACAACCTCTCGGAAAATAAATTAATGTCATTTTATCTACGGTATATAAGTATAGGTCATTCTTTCTTAATCATTTATATGACCTTATATATAACTATAGGTACTAAATTTCAGTGAATGCTATATTTAATTGGGTACGTTTTTTTGAGGCAAAAAAGGCACACCCCTACCAAAAAAAATATCGAAGTTACCCCCATCCCCGTGCTACAAGTACGCTCAAATCTGTCTTTTATGATGCGGGGATGTATAAGTGCCCTGCCACGTCTGGCTTGTGTTTTTGTTAGATATATTCTTGCTTTGTATCGATCTGATGAGTTACTAAGCCCTTTTCAACTCAGTGATGTTTATAGTTTGTTCTTATGATGTACTGTTACACCACTGTCCGAGGTTATGGAGAGGGTTGGTGCCTTCAAACTAGTTTAACCCCGCCACATTCTGTATGTACCTGTTCCAAGTCAGGAGCATGTAATTCAGTGGTTGTTGTTTGTTGCTGTAAATCATTATTGTTTTTCGTTCATTATTTTGTACATAAATCAGGCCTTTAGTTTTCTCGTTTGAATTGTTTCATATTTGTCATTTCGGGGCCTTTAATAGCTGATTATGCGGTATGGGTTTTGCTCACTGTGGAAGACCGTACGGTGACCTATAGCTGTTAGCTTCTATATGTCATTTGGTCTCACTAGCAATTATACCACATCTTCTTATTTTTATATTTCTTAATAAACATAAAAATGATTTATCTCTCAATGTATTTGCAAATATTATATTATTTGATTCAGCTATTTTCCAGTAATTTATCCGTTCTCGGCATATCATATATATATATGCCCTAAACCAAATCTAAACTCAAAATTGTATCAAATAATACTTTTATTTTGCAAATTGTACCCATTTTGGTCAAGCAAACCACAAAATTTAATACAGCATTAACACAAGTCAAGAATTAAAAGGATAAACATTACACCCATTTCATTCGGAACTCTGTTAGTCGTCTCATTGGCAATCATATCACATCTCCTAATTTTTGTAAACAAAAACATAGTTATGATAATGTAACTTTTGATGGACTTAGACCGCATTATACAGTTTAGATTTAAAAGTTGTTTTAGGTTGAAAAGTGCTTGATAATTTACAAAACCAGGTTTGATATCATAGTTTTGTTATTTTTGTAAAGTAAAATGAAGGATTATATTCTGCAAAATAATTTTGTGAAAGAACTGAACAGAAACTACTAATCATATAGACCTACATTAGCATAGGCGTTGTCATTTATATAGCATACAAGTAGGACTGGTATTCAATGAATAATTCGTGTCGTCGTCAATATGTTGAACTTGCGTGACTATCAACATTTTAATTTCATATATTCAAACTTTGAATTACTATTTAAATTCTTAGAAAACCTTCAAGTACGCCAAGAGAAAAGTCAATCGTAAATAAAATGAAGACCATAAATAGTCTTATACCAACAACAACAACAACAAAATGAAAAAAACACCAACAACAAAACAATTTATACCTAGTTTTCTTATTCTAGTCAGCTAGGTCTCTTGGGGCGCATTGCATTTGCGCCAATTTTAACAAAATTCATTCTTTCATTTGCGCCACAAGCTTATATTTCATTTGCGTCAAAAAATAAAAACTACATTTGCGTCAAAAAATAAAAACTACATTTGCGCCATTTTAAGGGTACCATATATATATATCAAGGAAAAGTTTAAATATTCATTGCTATATCGTGAATAAGAAATAAGTTTGTAATTTGTTATGACCTCACATATAGTTTGTATAATGTTCTGAAAAATGCAGACAGGTCATTAAGAACTACAAAAAACACTTGCAAAGCCAAAATCACAACAGATATTGACAATAAAATAACTATAAAATCTTTGAACGAATACAACCATGGTGTAAACCAGCAGAATGTAGAATTTCAGCAAACTAAGAATCAGATTTCGAAATGCATCTGATGTCGACATTACTGAAAGATCATCAAATATACCCACAGAACTACAAGGTAAATTCTCTTTTTGTTGCCAAATACGATACAATATTGCTTGTACAAAATACGAGTAAAAATTTATTTTCCAAATCAAACATGGAATAATACTTATATCATCTATCTGCAAATGTGCAAATACATTTTAGCATATTTAGAAGCGTTTTTTTTTTGGTGCAAACACGTAAAATTCTTCAATTGTCTTCCTTTTATCTCTATTGAAATCTATTGATAGATATTTTGAACAAAGATTTCTCTTTTTCTTTCAGGACAAACAAATCTATGCAAACACAAACTGTTCATTAAGGTTAACATAAAAAGTCTCTTTTGAATATACTATTTACCTGTATTAATATTGGCGCACATTAAATGCTTCATTTTGGCGCAAATGAAATATGGTTTGTGGCACAAATGAAATATTTTTTTGCGCAAATAATTGACACAAAAGCAAAGCACCGGTCACTTGATATGCAAATGTTGACTAATCAGAACCTCCAATACCGGTATCCCTTCGGTGTGTTCACGTTTCTCCAACATTTGATATTTTTGTACACAGGTAAATAATTTTGTTGGAGAAACGTGATTTTTTGGCAATAGGGATTAATGAAATTTACATGTCAATGGAGTTACAGTGAATCCAGCTCTAATAAACTTTTTGAGTTATCTGAAGGATTTATAGTTAAAAAAAGTCAAAATTGGTAAAACCAATATTTCACCAAGTGAGAGCACTAATATACAAAACAGTGATTAACAACGAAACAAGTGTTCAATGGTATAAAATTAGCAACAATATTAGCACTGATGATCAAATACACTACACAATCTTGAAATCATGCACAGGAAATGCTTTAAATTGCTAACACATTAATTTAATAGTATTATACAAAAATTATAAAATCTTTAAATTAAGCTCAGAAAGAAAAATGTAAATGAGGTAAAGGTCATTTGAAATCGTCCCTTCGTAAATTTTACGGCCGCCATCACGAGTTGCATGGTTGAATATCCGTTTCACAGATGACAACAGCTATATGTTCCAATTGTCGTAACTACAATCCCTTCCCCTTTTCCCCAAATGTGACCTACCGATTTTGACTTATCTCCGGGTTTGTACTAACATGAGCAACTCGATGGGTGCCACATGTGGAGCAGGATCTGCTTACCCTTCCAGAGCACCTGAGATCACCCCCAGCTTTTGGTGGGGTTTGTGTTGCTCAGTCTTTGGTTTTCTACGTTGTGTTTTGTTTACTGCTGTTGTCTGTTTGTCTTGTTTTTAGTCATGGAGTTGTCAGTTTATTTTCGAAATATGAATTTGAATGTCCCGCTGGTATCCTTCGCCTCTCTTCAAGACAGACATTCCACATAAATCTGCCTCTGCATACACCAAAATATAGTTAGCCTATTGCTCTAATAGTATCATACAAGCATGATTGCGAAAAATGAAGTCTCCTATATCTTTATAAGAAAAAAATGTATTGTGTTTTTGAAATTAAATGATCTTTTAAAACTTTAACGGTGGCCTGAAAAAGGTTTTTGTTTAAGGTGGTACTTAACACTACAGGGAGATAGCTCTGTAAAAATCAGCTGAACGTTTTAATCACGTTTATTGTTAAGGAAATATTAAGCTTTTCGATGATCAATATTAGTGTTTGTCAAACTGCTATATATCCAATGAATTTTTTCCGATAAAGTGTGTAGTTCAAGTTGTTTGAAATTTTTATTTTTGTCAAAGGGTCAAGGTAAATATTTTGTCAAAATTTTATGAAAATTAAACGAGCAAAATTAATTTTAATCAAGGTGTTTGGTACCACCTTGATAATTTTAAAGTTACAATATGAAATAACGTGTAGTATCGTTCCATATCGATCTTTAGTCGGACTTTGTCTACTTATTTTATTAGGTGGATCACCTCTTTCAGCTTGGTAAAGATTTCAAAGAATCAGATCTTATTGAGTCGGTACATTTACGTAATGCCTGAATAACATTCTTTAGTTGTAAAAGAAGCTGAACTATATTATTTTCAACCACAATTAATTTTCCATCCAATCAAAGATAAATAGTTTTTTTCTAAATGTATGGCTGGTTGCGCTCCATCTTGCTCCTGTAAGTAATTTCATATAATTCATAACTTCATGAAATTAGTTTTTACATTTTGAATATGCTTATGCAAAGTTAAGTTATTGTCAAAAATTAACCCTAAACAGATGCGGATCCAGGATTTTGACACAAAAACGAGCAACATTAAAAGAGGGCGAATGGAAGTAAATTCCTTATAACAATCATGACTCTTTCCAAAAGACAACATGAAGAGCAGGTGGTTTAAAAAAAGTTCGAATTTCGGTCTTTAAAAATTTAAACAAGCTTACTAAATAAGTCATGATGGTACAGTTCCACGGCTTATCTACGCATCATGACTGAAACGGTGGGGACAAATTACCTCCATGGTAATAAGATGTGCCAACGCTTATATAAGTGCATACAAAATATCATTGACTTATCATAAGTGGTTCCCCTAATTAAGCTGACCTAACCACAAAGTTTAACAAACTTGTTGATGCCGCCGCCGACGCCGGTAACAGCATACCGTCAAGGCGAGACAAAAAAACAATATAAAAGTTGTTTAAAAAAAGAACTACCCATCTTTCAATAATTTAATTTTGGATGTAACGCGTCTTCTGATTGGCTGACGTTGTTTTGTTTATCAGCTCATAGACATAATTTTGTCATGTGACCGTGACGTCATCAACGTTTTTTCATGGTTTACTCAGGTTTAAAATGGAATTTAGAATTAAATTATAAGAAATGACTGTTATATTTTTTCTGTCTATTCGAAATAACATAAAAAATGTGGTGCACACTTTAAAATAACCCGCTACGCGGGTTATTCAGTGTGCACCACATTTTTAATGTTATTTCTTCATAGACAGAAAAAATATTACAGTCATTCCTTAAATATACATTTTCATTAGAAGTATCATCATATGTACAATTACAGATTCGAACAATTATCAGATATATATTTTAATTCTCTCCTACCTTGAAAAGGTTATCTAATCTAGATCTCGTACAACGACTGTCACATGGCTGACACAGAGAACAGACCGAGTTAATACGAGCCATTTTCTCTCTGCCTTTGTCTCGAAGGGTATTTTTGTGTGTGTGTTTGGGAGTTTTTGAGTTTGTAAATAATTAAAATATATACCACGAGCCGTGCGTTTGATAATAAAGAATGACATTTTATAAATGATAAACACATTGAGATATTAGCACTTTACCTAAAAATAACTTTCATTTGTTGCTAACCTTTACGCAAAGTGTGACATTCAAACAAAATATGCAAAACATTTTAGGACAAACAATCGCACTGGGTTAAACATATGATTATTAGTTCTAGATAAAACATTTCAGGACTACAATCTCATTGGGTTAAACATATGTTTATTACTTCTAGATAAAACATTTCATGACTACAATCTCACTGGGTTAACATAGGCGGATCCAGGAGGGGGGCTGGGGGGACCCGGGCCCCCCCTTTCGTGGGAAAAATTTGGTTGATTATATCGGGAATCACTGAAGCATGACTGGAGCGCCCCCCCCCCCCCCCCCCCCCCCCCCTTTAGGTCAGTCAACGGCCCCCCTTATGAAAAGTTCTGGATCCGCCACTGGTTAAACATATGTTTATTAGTTCTAGACAAAACATTTCAGGACAAACAATCGCTATTGGTTATGTATATATGTTTATTAGATCTAGATAAAACATTTCAGGACAAACAATCGCAATGGGTTATTTTATTATTTTACATTTTTATACATATGTTTATTAGTTCTTGACAAGACATATCAGGTCAAACAATCGCAATGGTTTAGACATATTTCTATTAATTCTAGACAAAACATTTCAAGACAAACAATTGCAAAGGGTTACACATATTTCTATTAGAAAAAAACACTACCAGATAAACAATCCCAAGGGGTTCTTTTATTATTTTACTTTTTTATACATATCTTCATTAGTTCTTGACAAGACATATCAGGTCAAACAAACGCAATGGTTTAGACATATTTCTATTAATTCTAGACAAAACATTTCAAGACAAACAATCGCAATGGGTTATACATATTTCTATTACTTCTAGACAAAACATTTCAAGACAAACAATCGCAATGGGTTATACATATTTCTATTACTTCTAGATAAAAACATTTCAAGACAAACAAACGCAATGGGTTATACATATTTCTATTACTTCTAGACAAAACATTTCAGGACAAACAATCGCAATGGTTTAGACATATTTCTATTACTTCAAGTCTAGACAAAACATTTCAAGACAAACAATCGCAATGGGTTATACATATTTCTATTACTTCTAGATAAAAACATTTCAAGACAAACAAACGCAATGGGTTATACATATTTCTATTACTTCTAGACAAAACATTTCAAGACAAACAATCGCAATGGGTTATACATATTTCTATTACTTCTAGACAAAACATTTCAAGACAAACAATCGCAATGGGTTATACATATTTCTACTACTTCTAGACAAAACATTTCAAGACAAACAATCGCAATGGGTTATACATATTTCTATTACTTCTACACAAAACATTTCAAGACAAACAATCGCAATGGGTTATACATATTTCTATTACTTCTAGACAAAACATTTCAGGACAAACAATCGCAATGGGTTATACATATTTCTATTACTTCTAGACAAAACATTTCAAGACAAACAATCGCAATGGGTTATACATATTTCTATTACTTCTAGACAAAACATTTCAAGACAAACAATCGCAATGGGTTATACATATTTCTACTACTTCTAGACAAAACATTTCAAGACAAACAATCGCAATGGGTTATACATATTTCTATTACTTCTAGACAAAACATTTCAAGACAAACAATCGCAATGGGTTATACATATTTCTATTACTTCTAGATAAAAACATTTCAAGACAAACAAACGCAATGGGTTATACATATTTCTATTACTTCTAGACAAAAAACATTTCAGGACAAACAATCGCAATGGTTTAGACATATTTCTATTACTTCTAGACAAAACATTTCAAGACAAACAATCGCAATGGGTTATACATATTTCTATTACTTCTAGACAAAACATTTCAAGACAAACAATCGCAATGGGTTATACATATTTCTATTACTTCTAGACAAAACATTTCAAGACAAACAATCGCAATGGGTTATACATATTTCTACTACTTCTAGACAAAACATTTCAAGACAAACAATCGCAATGGGTTACACATATTTCTATTACTTCTAGACAAAACTTTTCAAGACAAACAATCGCAATGGGTTATATATATTTCTATTACTTCTAGACAAAACATTTCAGGACAAACAATCGCAATGGGTTATACATATTTCTATTACTTCTAGACAAAACATTTCAAGACAAACAATCGCAATGGGTTATACATATTTCTACTACTTCTAGACAAAACATTTCAAGACAAACAATCGCAATGGGTTATACATATTTCTATTACTTCTAGACAAAACATTTCAAGACAAACAATCGCAATGGGTTATACATATTTCTATTACTTCTAGACAAAACATTTCAGAACAAACAATCGCAATGGGTTATACATATTTCTATTACTTCTAGACAAAACATTTCAGGACAAACAATCGCAATGGGTTATACATATTTCTATTATTTCTAGACAAAACATTTCAAGACAAACAATCGCAATGGGTTATATATATTTCTATTACTTCTAGACAAAACATTTCAGGACAAACAATCGCAATGGGTTATACATATTTCTATTACTTCTAGACAAAACATTTCAGGACAAACAATCGCAATGGGTTATACATATTTCTATTACTTCTAGACAAAACATTTCAGGACAAACATTCGCAATGGGTTATACATATTTCTATTACTTCTAGACAAAACATTTCAGGACAAACAATCGCAATGGGTTATACATATTTCTATTACTTCTAGACAAAACATTTCAGGACAAACAAACGCAATGGGTTATACATATTTCTATTACTTCTAGAGAAAACATTTCAGGACAAACAAACGCAATGGGTTATACATATTTCTATTACTTCTAGACAAAACATTTCAGGACAAACAATTGCAATGGGTTATACATATTTCTATTACTTCTAGACAAAACATTTCAAGACAAACAATCGCAATGGGTTATACATATTTCTATTACTTCTAGACAAAACGTTTCAGGACAAACAATCGCAATGGGTTATGCATATTTCTATTACTTCTAGACAAAACGTTTCAGGACAAACAATCGCAATGGGTTATACATATTTCTATTACTTCTAGACAAAACATTACAGGACAAACAATCGCAATGGGTTATACATATTTCTATTACTTAAAGACAAAACATTTCAGGACAAACAATCGCAATAGGGTTATACATATTTCTATTACTTCTAGACAAAACATTTCAGGACAATCAATCGCAGTGGGTTATTCATATTTCTATTACTTCTAGACAAAACATTTCAGGACAAACATTCGCAATGGGTAATACATATTTCTATTACTTCTAGACAAAACATTTCAAGACAAACAATCGCAATGGGTTATACATATTTCTATTACTTCTAGACAAAAAATTTCAGATTAAACAATCGCAATGGGTTATACATATTTCTATTACTTCTAGACAAAACATTTCAGGACAAACAAACGCAATGGGTTATACATATTTTTATTACTTCTAGACAAAACATTTCAGGACAAACAATCGCAATGGTTTAGACATATTTCTATTAATTCTAGACAAAACATTTCAAGACAAACAATTGCAAAGGGTTACACATATTTCTATTAGAAAAAAACACTACCAGATAAACAATTCCAAGGGGTTATTTTATTATTTTACTTTTTTATACATATCTTTATTAGTTCTTGACAAGACATATCAGGTCAAACAAACGCAATGGTTTAGACATATTTCTATTACTTCTAGACAAAACATTTCAAGACAAACAATCGCAATGGGTTATACATATTTCTATTACTTCTAGACAAAACATTTCAAGACAAACAATCGCAATGGGTTATACATATTTCTACTACTTCTAGACAAAACATTTCAAGACAAACAATCGCAATGGGTTACACATATTTCTATTACTTCTAGACAAAACATTTCAAGACAAAGAATCGCAATGGGTTATACATATTTCTATTACTTCTAGACAAAACATTTCAAGACAAACAATCGCAATGGGTTATACATATTTCTATTACTTCTAGACAAAACATTTCAAGACAAACAATCGCAATGGGTTATACATATTTCTATTACTTCTAGACAAAACATTTCAAGACAAACAATCGCAATGGGTTATACATATTTCTATTACTTCTAGACAAAACATTTCAAGACAAACAATCGCAATGG